AGATACCTAGCTCTATGCAAAAACTTCAGTAAAACATCTATAACTCTAGATAAAAGGCCCATGGGCTCGAATCCTCTTGAGGTTTTTCATACCTCATCGAGGATTATCTACCACCAAAAGATGAGACCTAAACCTGTTAATCACCTCGAACGGTTCCCTCGTAAGTTCTTTTCGTATACGAACTCTGTAATTCCAGACAATCAATACACATCAATATTCACTTCTGTACGATTTATCATCGACATACTTTTCTTGTTTTCATTCGAATTCTCATGAATAGGTGACAAAAACAAACTTTCCAAGGTGTTTTATCATTCAAGAACATATAGTTGTAGGACGAATCAACCAACGCCTTCTCGCTTTTTATAACCATTTCATCATATTTTCATATAGATCAATATCGAATATGAGAAGTCCAATGTCAATATGTTTCAATAGAATTTTTCGTCGGTATAATTGAGTAGAAGGTGTAGGAACAATTCCGTTATCAGATCATCTTTATCCTAACTCAATTGTGAAGATTTCGAAATCAATCCAGAAGGTAAAACTAAAGATTAACTTTCTTCTTTTGAATTCTAAATTTTATTTTTGTATTTAGAATATCAAAAAATGAAAAATGTAAATATGAACATATTTTCATCGATCAATTCATTTTTATATATTTAAAGTATCACGTCGAGTCTCATCAACCATTCTCCGTCCTCCTTTTTGCTTTGTATGTTAATTTATATTTAAATCATATTAATTCATAGATAAAACCATTGAATCGATCAATCTGAAAGAATTTACCCTAAATCTATTGTTGAGATATTTATAACATAACAAACATCGACTCGATACACGTTTCGATTGTTTGAAAAACACAAATGATCATTAAACAAAAGATATTCAGTCTCTTTATACTATTTCAAAATCGAATTTTTTGTAAAAATTAAAACAAATTATCACTGTAAAGTCAACAACGCACGAGTTCAAATGTTCTTCATCGTATGAATACTATGATGCAGTTTCCGATCATAAGTATATAATTATGACGTTGATGTTAACTTTAAACTGATGATGATGGCGAACATGCTTCAAAATAGGCAGAGAAATTACTCTTTTCATTCCATGATTCGACGAAGAGTTGATCTAAAAGAACGCTCACTTTTGTATTAGGATTAAATCGAGATAATGATGATGATAATGGTGAAACTAATGAGAAGCTAGGAATGTATTTTTCTATTTGGTTAATACATGATGAATTGTAAAAGCATTTTAATGTTGATGATAATAATGAATTATATGGTAAACAACCAACCATTAGACCAGGAATAGAAAATAATACAGATTTTTGCGCCTTTAATGTCACAGTATATCCTGAATAGTTATAAAATCGAGCTGGTCTACCACAATCAATATGTACATCGCACCGACACACGTTGCTTCCATTAGAGTATTGACGGGTATTAGTAATACTATACACAATTTCAGGCCTAAGCCTTATGAAATAATTGGTACGTAATGCTGAATAGATACGACTTTGGAAAATATTTAGAGCAAGGAAACCACTGATGTGTCGTATATTGTTAGTAGTTGTTGTCTTCATTTGATTGACAAGTTGTTCGATTTGATAGTCAAATATTTCAGAACTCATAACTTCACTGCTAATGAAATGTTCAGCAGCAAACTCATCTATGGAATAACTGATCGTTTCTTTGATTGTTCGACAAAATAAAGCAAGAATTTGAAAATGGGATGGCATGCTAAGACGATAATCTGACATTGCGAAATCTTTTCGATTTTTATAAGATAAAGTAGTGAGAAAAGATTCATTGATAAATTGACTTGAACAAATAGGATGATACTGAAGATCAAAAGAAACAAAATATTCTTGACGAATGGATGTTTGTGAACATGGACACGAGAATGTACTTGGATATTGAAGAGAAAGTTGTCTGAAGATAGATTCAGCAGGAGAATGAATAGTGACAGATTGAGTTTGAACAGTAAATGCAGTAAAAGTAACAATAATAATAAGAGAAGAAACTAAAAGAATCAGATAAACTTTAGTTGCGAGTAATTGATCGATTAGATTGAGATCTTCATCTTCATCAAATAGATTTATATTTTTGATATAATCATACAATTTTCTACATATATTGCTTCGATGATGAGTTGATCTTTCCATTTTCTTTTCAGGAATTGCAAAAAAAAAAATAAACAATTGTTCAAGTAAATATATCGTTATTTTCTTCCATCATTAACCATCTGTTTCATTAATATTTTTATAATGAAATATTCTCGAAGTATACGAAGAGCATCCATGTGCGCCGATAATAATTAATTGATATTTTTACTGCGTGTTCATTATAAGTAATGAGAGATATTAAAATTTTCCCGCCTTCTTTCCCGTTGTTGAAATACGTAAAGAGCCAGAAGAAAAACGAGACTTTGTAATTACTTTCATGGTACTTCTGTCATATTCCGATGCAGAATCATTTTTCGGTGTTCACTTCACATCGATATGCGAAGAGGTCAAGACTCTATAATTAAGAGGTTTAATACGTATTTGTTTCTTTACTTGTCACCTTCTTGTATTATATATGCAAAAAAAAATAATCATATTGTACGGTTTTTTTATCTTTCAACTAAGCATGCACTTTTCGCCATCATCATCATCGGAGATTGAATTAATAAAGTAAAAAACAACAGTTGTTAGACTGCTTTTTCAAACTGGATTCAGATATCTATAGAAGTTACCGTATACAGAAACACAACATCGTTGCATTCATTTGTTTGGTGTTAATTTGCTGACAATTGTAATGAAATTTTTACATCGTTTACAAATGAGCACAATGACTTATCCTAATTGTATTTGTAATATTTTGTGTTGGATTTCATCTTGATTTAGAATTGTTCTGGCAGAACAAGAAGTAAACGATCTATTCGATCACAAAGACAAATTCGTTCTGAGATTCATCAATCGACACATTCACATTGTCGTTCATCATCACAGCAAAATGTTTTCACAAAGATGAAATCTGAGAAACGATTAGCATTGTCAAGTCTATTAGAAGATCTATCAATACATTCAATTGCGAACGGAGAGATCAATTTAAAGAGCAATTATTCATCCAGCTTCAGATATGGAAGCATATCTTTATGAAGTAAGTGAAAATGAAGCTTTCGTTGACGAAAGAAAGTGATCCACAAGGAAGATTTATTCAATGTACTCCTATGTTTAATTCTCTTGATAACCATCGAAATGTCAGTTCGATCGAAAAAGTACAATAAGAGATTTGTGAGGAAAACCGAAGAAAGTATGCCTAAATGCGTTACACCTGTATATTTACATTATCATTCAATTAATTCTGCAGGCATTTTCCGTATTGGTGGTGTCGTTCGTTATATTTATGCATAGTGGGAGTTAAAACTGGTGAGGTTATAACTTTTGAGTTGTAACCGATCAAATTTCTAGCTTAAAATTCATTTCAGTTATAACGTTTAACCGTGGCTATAGTCTTTTCTACAGCTATAATCACCTGTTTTCTAGATTCTATAGGAGAGAATATATGTATCTTTCTGTTCATCGTGAGTGAACATCCTGAAGGAATATTTTGAAATATAATTCGTGCCACTTCAGCATTAGTCAAAATAAGAGAAGCGAATTCTACTGGATACTAGATACAAAATAGATTGTATAATCTTTGTAAAATCCAACAGGATTCAAAGAAGCGAAAAGAACTCAACAGGTTTGAGAAGAAGCCAGCATAATTTATAGAATATAAAGGTATCTATAGGTTTGGAAGACTTCAAGCATCCAGGATCCGCATTTTTTCTCGTGGTATTAGTTAAATGTTATAGCCACGGTTAAAGGTTATAACTATGGCTAAACGTTATAATTCCAGTTATAACCAGTTCAACTTTTGTCAGTTTTCTTAACTTTTCACTTTTTGAAAATTCGTTTTAACTCTCACTATGGTGTTTGATATTCAAACTGGTCACGCTCGACAAGTAAACGATGTTTCTGGAGGATTCGATGGGCCCGTTTCTGATAATGAAATTTTGCTCAAAGGAAGTGAATTGATTATAGTTGAAGATCTTTATGTGGAACTCTGGTTAAAGTTAAAGATTGAAGATGACGGAACTGGCCAAATGAAAAATGTGAAAGAAACGATTGAGTTTGCCAACAAGTATTTTCATTAGATAGATTTGTTTCGGAATATATTGTTAATCGAGCATTTAGTTGAGAAAATGAATGTAGAATATCAACTGAGTTGGAATATATTCGTATGGATTTGCTTGTGTCTTCGCTTATTCCCTCTTGGGCAGTACTTTGTGTAATACTGCCCTCTTCTAAATGTGAAGCAGTGTATTTGATTCATTGCCCATGTGATACGAGACAGAAAAGGAAAAAAGTGAAGCCATGGAGATTGTATTGGTTAAACAGATGTCTGGGTTTCTCGAAAACTATAAGCCCATTTGTTGAATAGCTTCCGAACAAATCTTTTCCTCTTCTATAATTCAGTTAAGACATTTTCTCCAATGCTTCTCTTATCATCGTAATAATGATAGATGCCGTTTATCCTGAATGAAATAAAAATGAAACGAAGTCGTGCGTCTTTCTGACTTGTTCTATGGTACAAAAATATGCGAAAACTCAATTGGCCTAGTACTCAGTATCTATCAACTAACAACAGCAGATACAATCAGTACAGTCACACCCACCACAGTCACACCCACCACAGTCACACCCATCACAATCACAGTCACCACAATCACAACAATTGTCACATTCACAACAGGAGCAGCAGCCATTGTTATCAGAATCCGGTACATTGTTATTATGTTGATCAAAACAGCAACAATAACAACAACAGCAGTCGTACGTCGATGAATGGGTTACTGATGATCCGCGATAGTTATTATTTGATTGGTTTCGATTTTCTTTGTTTCTTATCGTGACATCGGAAGAATTGTTATTCGGTGGGGTAAAATGTTGTTTATCGTTGAAGTTGAGTAGATATCCGTCATTCCCCATTTGATTTGAACGCTCATTTTTGCGTGCAGCGGCCAAATCAATGAAAATCGGTCGAAAGTTAGAATCATCAATAGGCTGGTTTGTTACATGTTGAACTTGGTTTTCAGCATTCAAATCGATAAAATATGGCGAAGCACTATACGAATCTGCTGGTTGTGCAGTATGGTATCTATTTTGTCGTTCCATCGGCACTCTGTTGATAACTCAGTCGAATATAATGAGTTCGAAGTAGCTGTGATTAACGTCAGACCGCAGTTTCACACTATTTTATACACAATACTTTAAAAAATTGACTCATGGATATGAGTAATCGAAGTATGCTTGCGGGGCATCAACTAACAGAAGCAGTACAATTTGACGTCATTTGAAATAGAAAGAAAAAAACATCGAAGAAATATCAGATTTGATCGATTGGAAGAAATAAAAAAAATTTCTTTCAGTCCTGCACAAAAGAATTACATATATATTCGTTCTGTTAATCGATGTGCGACTTCCTAATGCCACTCGATGGAATTAAACGCGAGACAGCGATTTCTTACGTCTATTGATGTATGTATGATTCAACTTCAAAAATCAGCGTACTCCCTTAACGTGTGGATGGATTTTGTGAGATCTTTACAAAGAAGGGAAAGAATATAACCAAGATGGAATTCCTGATAAAAAGATTATATTGAGACAAACGTTTTATTCAATAACAACAAGAAAGAAAGGAGACAATCTTTTACTCTTATTCAGAGATCATTTTAACAGTATAATATTTGCGAGCGTTAACTCATGAAGTCTGTGAAAAGACTACAAATCATCATGGCAAATGGAATTGCGACCAGCATAAGTACAAAGAGCATAAAAATCGACATGATCGAACTAGGCATTAAGATGTATTCAATGAAATCGTCACGAATAGATGCGGTATTTGGCTTTTCATGCAATGGCCCTCGTTGTGTATCATATGGATCAATAAAACATGGATATGTTGTGTTTATCTAAAATGTTCTAAACTTATTGCAATCGAATCTCAGTTGTGCATACTCACAATATTTGATTCGATTGGTACAGGTACAGTCCATTGTTCGAGTTGTTTCCTTACGATATTTCCATTGATATTCACTTCGAAGGAGACCAGAAAAGAGTTATTGAGGATGATGTTCGAAGAATGAATGTCTTTTTGAGGACGTGAATTGATCCCGTCAATCCGACAAACTGTTTGCACAGTAAACTTCGCTGCGTCAATTTCGCGTTGACAATATTTCGCGTATTTCAATTGCATATTGGCAAGATGTAAGATTAATAGGAGCGAAATGATCACAATAAATCCGAATATCGACCACAATATTTTCATTGGCTTTGCTCTAAGAGAATTGTTCGACGACATCCGTACGACTATGTGCTGTGTAGATTAGGTTACTTCTGCAAATGTTGCGCCTTTTTAAATGAACGAGTAAGAAAGAATCTGACTGATTCACACTCTGCATGAAGTTATACGTTGACCGGTCGGTCGTTTCTTTGCATACAAGTCGAAGTCATCATATGAGAATGGCAGTTTTGTCGCAGTTTGACCGGTCTAATAGTCACCTTCGTAGCGGTTGTTTGCATACTGATATTGTGGCTCAGAAGAGTGCACAGCAATTACAGATTTCCGGTCGCTCGTGATCTTGATAATCCTCGAATAATTATAATTGGTTTGACTCAATGCAAATGTCTAATAAATCTCAGATAAGGCATCAGCACAAAGGCTACGTACGAAGGAGAGCAAGCTGATTTGTATGAAAAACTTGTTGAAATCGTCGTATCGACATATCAATCGACGAGTACAATGCAAAAACAATGCATCAAACTTTCAAACAACATTGGAGATCGATTGTGTAGATAAGAACCAGTCATCATTTTTACAAAGAGATCAGATTTCTGTATGAAAGTAAATCGAACCCCTTAAACTATAGAACAATAGGTCGTATGACTTTTATTTACAACAATTAATTCATTAGGGTGCAAATGAAGATTGTGTTTTATTTCTTTTATACGCTGTCGCTTTTACTCTCATGTTCATTAATTTTTTATTAGAATGATTTTTATTGAAATGCTCTTTTTGTTGGGAAAAGTATCTGTGTCAACGCGTAATCACGAATGTTTCTATACTCTCACAGATTAGTTTGTGTTTATAGATCGGAAAAATACCATTCGCTTCTACCAAGATAAATACTAAAACCAAAGGCAATGCCACCACCAAAGATACATGCTGTTGTCAGGAATGAACCAAGCAGAAGATGTGTCATACCTTGATAGAAAGAAAAATTAAACACATCCTCGTATTTCACAATCGATTCAAACCTGAAATTCCCTGTCCACTGGTACAACCACCTGCACATCGTGCTCCTAATAATAATAAAAATCCACCAAGGATGCTACTAAATATATTTGTTCCATTTTCTGCACCAAGTGGAATTGTTTGTGACAGACTGGATGACAAAGCACTCCCTCCAATAGCACCTAATGCAACAAGAAATGCGACATAATTCTTGACTCCATAAGCGAATGAATTCAATGATGGCAATGCTCGACCAATCGGTTTAATACGACATATTTGAGCAGCAACTACAGTAAATGCTGATGACATTCCCAGTGATTTTTCAAGGAAGAACATAAAGAATAATTGTAAAAGACCAACACCAGCACCGCAAGCTGAGGGTGGCCATGCAGCCATGCCGAAAATATAACCAATAGCATCATCTGGATTAAGAGTACCTTGCGCTAGTAGTCTAGGATTCAAATCGGATTTCCATGGAATAACGAATTCTAAGCCTACAGCTATGCCAAGAAGACCAAGACCAAAAACGACATGAACAATAACACTATGAACATGTAACACTTCGTTCAAACGGCGAAGAACAAGTGATGTTGGTGGTAGTTTTTCTCGCGAAACACGTTCATGAATCAATATGTAGTAAAAATACGTTCCGAGAAGACCACCCAACGCAGTAAAGAGAGAATTGATAATGCCCGAACCACTAGAAAATACGACAATATGAAAATGCGTGAATAACAATAATAATTACATCTGAACAAAAACTGTGCCTGGACAACTACCACATATAACCATTCCTATACCGATCAGAGTACCTCCCAACATGTAATGAAGAACTACAAAACAAAACTCATACTATCAATTCAATTCATTGATAAGATTTACTGTCTCGACGACTATTGTGCTCAATATAGCTGGCAAGAATTTTTGCATATAGAGCACCACAACAGAGCACCAGTAAAGCCACGCTCAACATAGACACTCCAGCAGCAGCGAGAAACATTTTTAACATTGCAAACCGTTGAAACAACATTTGCTTGCGAATAGTAGGAGCGACAAACACTGTTCCTTTATTTATGAAGAATCCAAACAATAAACCAAAAATCACAGCATATAGAACACTACGTATATTTATTAAAGCGCTTTTGACAGGGGATTCCTTGTGACCGTTAATTGGTATGGTTTCAACTTTTGTAACACTATCCATTCTATGAGAAAACAAAGTACATTAACAGAGCATGATGAATATAAATAGAATAAGTAAGATGCAGGCAGAGAAACTTTCGAGCAAGATTTTTTACAACGTTTCTTACATCATTTAACACAGGTTTAGGTCCATCACAATCTCTTTTCAGATCAAATAATATGAAACGTTCAGAGATGTTCTTTTCTACCAAATGTGTGATGGTTTTTACTTTCGAACCAATTTCTTCTGATCCAGCATCAAAAAGTCAATCTAAAAGTGTTTTCAGATCGAGTAGAGAGAAGTATTTTATCTCATCCTATTCATCATATCACCACTTACAGAGCTACAACGCGTGTTTTCGTCTTTCTTTTTTCTATGTTGAAAAAAAAAATCATTTTTACACATAAGGTGAGTTCTGGGGAAGGTGCTGCTTAGGTGAAATAATGAGTTTCTTTTCTTCAAAGGTAATGCAAATTTGTATGTAGTGGTAAAAGATGATGAGACACCGGATAGATAGACTTTTGGAAATAATCTTTGGATCTCTGGAGATTCTTCAAAAATCTTGGATGATTTTTGTTTTGAAATCGATATTTTTAAGGAGAATAGTGCAAAATACGTCCCTATTTAGAATAGTTTCATCCATAGATTGAAATACTCTTATCACTATCCCAAAATGAAATAAAACGAAAGCCTAACTATAATCGGCAATAAGCTGGCGTGTGTCTGATAGTATGATTTCAGATGCAAAAGCCGCTTCCGATTATAAATATGAAAGGAACTACACACTATTAATTAATGTTACAAAAATATGACTTTAGCACCGGGATCTCTAGAATTTCTCCAAAAAAAAAATATCCAAAGGCTATTTCCAAAAGTCTATCTATCCAATGTCTCATCATCTTTTACCACTACATACAAATTTGCATTACCTTTGAAGAAAAGAAATTCATTATTTCACCTAAGCAGCACCTTCCCCAGAACTCACCTTATGTGTAAAAATGATTTTTTTTTTCAACATAAAAAAAGAAAGACGAAAACACGCGTTGTAGCTCTGTAAGTGGTGGTATGATGAATAGAATGAGATAAAATACTTCTCTCTACTACTTATGTAGAAAGACTAGATACGTTTACAAAATCAACATGATTTCAGACGTTGTCAGCAACGCATTTTGAGATCCATACTCGATCTGAAAAATTGTATCAAATGATGTAAAAAGTGTTTTAAAAAATCTTGCTTGAAAGTTGCTTTTTTACACTTTAAAAGCGTTTGATTTCCATTTATCCTTTTACGTAAGAAGTGTATACACACACACACACTCATGGACAAGTAAAACTAAGTGATATAAGAAAAAAGGTTGATGTACTTATACTTCGATAAATAACCTTTTCATTTATACTTTTATCTAAAAAAATACGAAAAGCGGAGACATGGAAGCTTTCATTTGCGCACTGAACTGTATTTTTATTTTGAAATAAACTTACTTCGTGGTTTTTTGTTGTGTTGATAACATCGGCATATTTTCCGACTTCTCTATTTGTGTGTCTTGATCGTTTAGATCTTTCTTCATCATTGCTGGACTTCCACTTTACCGATCAGATCAAAATACACGACTATGGCTCTTTCTTTCTATCGTTCGATAATAAAATATCAAAATATTTATGCATTCACACCCATACCTTTTTATACGTACAATTTCTTTCTTCGTTTTGAAATGAATCAGCAGTACTAATTATGCAAAAGGGAAAAATAAGGCGCCTGTCTAGTTAATACACTTCAATCGCTTTTGCGTTCTGATAGAATATAAGAGAAAAAATAAAAACTCACTTTCTCTTGCGTTCGGCCACTAAAATGATCTATACACATGTGCCTTCTTTTGCATATATATTCTTCAACACGACATTACAAAAGCAAAAAAATTTCTTCGTTTTGTCTTTAGCCTAAAGACAGCGATATTTAAGAGATTAATGCACAATGTATTCATTCTACATGTATAACCGAAGATTTGAATTTGTCGCAGTATGACACACTAAATCGTTATTTCTCTTTCACTACGTTATTCAATCGATAAATAAAAATAGGTCACCATAATTATCCAATCAGTTCATTGTACTTCAAAAGTACATATTAATCAACATCATGTCAACGCTTGGATTGGTAGTTATTTTTTATTTTCAATAGTCCATCTTGGAATCTTGTTTAGTTGAAATTCTGCTATTTAGATTATAAATTTTTCGTCGTAGTTCATTATGATTAAGACCTTTTGAAAGAAACAGTGTAGCATTTTGCACTGACAATGCTTCCAAGCTCTTTACAATTACTTGAGCGAACATTATTGCAATAAACCGATTCCAAAGAAGAATTCTAATTGTCATCGTTTATTATGCCCTACAACAAAGATATTGTTGAAGAAAGATAACTATAATGTTATATACATATATGAGACAGAAATAGAATTATCTTGTATTTATTAATATTAAAACATGAGTTTACTTTAATCAGAAGGCGAGGTCTTGATTTTCGCGTCGGATTTCGAAGAATTTAGGCGGAAAACAAATGTAGGGACATGAATCTGAATTTTAGACTTTACATATTCATTCTATATCCGTACCTTTACCTTTTGATGCATAGTGCAATAACGCCGAGTCGTTTTCTTCTCACTTGAAATCTTCGCTGAATTATTCTTGCTCTGTTCTTTCCAACAAAAGAGAATTCTTTTAAGAACAGAAAGGAAGAAGAAAAAGAACGAGTCACCTACTGTTGGCCATTTTGAGACTTTTTCAGTTATTCTCTTTGCGTCTGTAAGATAAACTCGTCAGTAGATGGCCTCTGATCGTGATGTGTTTGAATGTGTTTGGCTTGATAACACTGCTGATGCAACTGAAGAAAATAAAGATATTCAAAAGAAACTTCGTCTTATCATTGAACATTTACGTTTATTTGATAAAATTGAAACATGCGAAACATATCTTCGAAATGCGACAAAAGCATCAATTATTTTAATCGTCTCTGGTTCGTTTGGTCGACAATTAATTCCGAAAATTCATGACCTTCCACAATTAATTGTCTTTTATGTATTTTGTCAAAATAAGAAAAGTAACAAAGAATGGGCAAACAAATATAATAAAGTAAAAAATAACATTTATTCTTTTCGAATTATAAAATATTTGATTATGTTCTTTCAGTTAAGCACTGTTTGTACAGATAGTTCCGAATTAATCAGTTGTGTTTCAAAAGATCAAAGCACTCGAACAGGTTTAGAGGAAAATCCATTGATATCTGTTATCAGTTCGACAGGTGACACAATGGAATCTCGAAATGCTAACTTTCTCTGGTTTCAATTATTTATCGAAATTCTTCTACGAATGCATCACAAAGTTAGTGATCGACAAGAAATGATTAGTATTTGCAAGAGAAACTATACGAATGACACAAAAGCTTTACAAATGATCGATGAATTCGAAAAAGATTATTCTTTAAATAAAGTTATCTGGTGGTATACTCGTGATACATGTTTTTATAGAATAATAAATAAAGCATTACGTGATCAAGACTTTGATATGTTATTTGTTTTTCGTACATTTATTACAGATATTGCGAAACAAATTCAACAAGGTTATGAATGTTTCATTCGAACAAATGGAAGTCGACAGAAAATATTCGTCTATCGAGGACAAATGACAAGTATGGCGGAGTTGAATTTAATGCAAAATAATCTCAATGGATTTTTATCGATGAATTCGTTTTTATCGACAAGTCGTGATCGTTCGATTGCATTGACATTTACTCATCGTCATTCGTCATCTTATCGAGGACGAAATCGTTTACAACCAATATTATTTGAAATTGAAATCGACCCAAAATTACGAACAAAAGCGTTCGCTGATATCAGTAAGCAAAGTGACTTTCAAGGAGAATATGAAATATTGATTATGCTTGGTGCTTTATTTTGTATTCAAAAAGTATTTGAAGATAAAAACGACAACGTATGGATCGTACAAGCGAGTTTAGCAAGCGATGATGATTATCATTTGAAAGAATTATTTTCTCATATGAAAAAGAAAATTGGTGATGACACTGATCTTGATACTCTTGGAAGACTTTTAATACGAATGGATGAAAATGAACATGCTAGAAAGTGTTATCAACGGATGTTAAAAGAAACACAACTAACTTTAGGCAATGCTCAATTAGGACTTGGATGGGCTTCATTGAGGTGTCATGATTATCAACAAGGTCTTGAGCATTTTCAACAAGCATTAGATATACGACAACGTCTGCTAGGTGAAGATCATCCAGATGTTGCCGAAGTATTCAGTTTTCTCGGTGAAACTTATCGAATTATGCACGATTATGACCAAGCTCTAATATATTTAATTCAAGCAATGACTATTGAAGAAAAAACACTTTCATCGAGTTCTCTTAATCTAGCAGCCACATATGATACATTGGGTACAGTCTATGCAAAGTTAGAACAATATGATCTTGCTTTAAAATATTATGAAAAAGTTTTAAACATTCGTCAGACAGTTTTACCATCAGATCATCCTCAATTGGCGGCAATTAACCGTAATCTCGGATGGTTATTCGAAGAACAGGGAGAACATTCGAAAGCTTTGAAATATTATCAGAAATCATTAGATATTGCACGACGAACATTATCTATTAAGCATGGACTCGTCACTGGCGCACAAGACAGTATTCAACGATTAAAAGCGAAAATGAAACAGTCATGAGAATTTTGAAAATTTAAATCAATTACAAATAACTGTCGTCATAAACATATAGATATTGTTCTAGTGGATTCGTTTGAATTCCACAGTGCTAACGTAAGGCTATAAGTTGTGAATGATAAATTTATTGTTGTCTCGGAGAAGTGAATGAAAAAAGTAACCAATATCGTCTCTTTGTGACATCATCATTGGATGTCGAGGAAAACCAAAAAACACATAAACTTTTGCATGGCTGGAAATAATGAAGATTTCGATATAAATGAAGTTAAATAGACGAGACTGACAAATTGGAATTGTTTTCAACTAGGTTTTTGATCATTTCAATTTGCTTCATGAAAATAGTCATTGGTTTCATAAATCTTTATAGATTCGTCGTAATATTTAATAGCTTCTGTATGTTGATTCATCTTGTGACAGACAGCAGCTAAGTTGAAATATGTGGATGCCAAGTCATCATAATCATGAGACAAATGATTCTATCGAAGTTCGGCACTTCTTTCATAATATTCTCTTGCATTATTGAGCTCATTGTTCAATTTATATATAGACGCCACTATTCCCGCATAGATAGAAAAAGATTTCTGATGATAATCGAGTGCTAATGTTGTGTCTTTCTTTCTTTTATGTATTTTGCCAATTTGATGAAGACTCCAAGCAGTGTTATGATGATCCGCTGGTAAAACCTCTTGACGAATTTGTAATGCATTATAATGATACGTTAAAGCTTCGTCGAAGTTTTTCTTGACATGAATAAATATTTCCAATATCGGAATAACTAAATCCCGATAACAACATGTTTCAATGATAAGATTCTCTGTTTTATCTGAATTGGTTCTGATTGATAATGAAGAGCTTCACTAGAATTTCGCTGATGTAAATAAATTCGTCCGATACTATTATGAAATGTCGCAATATCGATCTCATTCATTCCAATCTCAATTGCCTCTTCAAATTTGTCCATTTTATCATAAACTCGAGCTCGATTGTAATGTATAAAAGCAGTATATTTCGCTTCGAAAGGGTTCGAGTGATCAACGAGGTTTTAAGCTTTGTCGAAATGTTTCAAAAGTGTGCAAAGCATATAATCGTTGGACTTTCACTTTTCATCCGTTGACGATGTTCTGTTTGATATTCTTTGATAATTACTTGTTATTCTTCACTTGTTTTCATCTCTAACCAATAAGAATTAACTACAATGAGTTTGTCTTGGTTAGTTGTAACAACATTGACTTCTGCTTGAGTCATCATAATACCTCGGTATGGTGCCGTGGTTGGTTGGTGTTTCTCAACAGATTGAAGTTGTTTTGAGAGATGAGCAATATAATAACGAAAAATGTAAAATTGTTCGTGGTCAACTGTTCTTAAAGCTCGATTTATCATGCGATAAACAAATACATCTCTTGTGTACCACGTAATCGAATCTTCTTTTCGACAATCTTGACTGAATTCATCAATGTTTTTCAACATTGTCCTGATAGTATTGACGACAAATTTCGATCATTTCTTCTCTAGCTTTAGTTTTACCGGATAAATTATTAATAACATTTTTGAATAATTGAAACCTAGAATAGAGAACAACATTACAAAGACAAACACTTCGACGAAGGTTACTAAAGAAATTCGCAATCGATTGTCTATGTTTATCATAAAAAGTAAATATATTCATTTGATTATTCCTATCACTAATCATTTCTTTGATTAATTGAATAAGTTCACTATGATTACTGCCGATATGAACTTCTTTTAATGCATCTTTATCGTTACAAACGATAAATATCGAATCTACTGTACACGTTTTGTCGACAGATTTCAGCAGTTCCAATATCTCGTCACCAGTCTTCCGAGAAATTATGAGAAAAAAGTATTTACTACAAATTGATTGTCGAACTTCTTCCAATGTTCATAAAAATGAACATGAGGACTGATTTGATGAATTATCGTCCTTACAGTTTTTGAATCCATCACTCGTATTCATATTCGGATTGAACCAAATAGTGTTTAGAATGTTTTCTTCTTCTTCCATACCGTTTGCGGTATTGTTTGATAATTTCTCTGACGCTTTTCCTAAGAAGAAACTCTTTCTCTCTGTCAACTAGATTTTTATTCTTGTACCGTTTACCGTGGTTACCACGATAAATCTTCACAACAATGCTGAGCAGTGCTTTGATTTCTTTACAGACGTTCCAGAAGAAGTTGTTCCAATTAGATCTGACCTTCTTTTTCTTGCATTTATTCAAAGTATTTCCCAAGTTATATTCAACTCATATTCTAAATGAAAAGCAAGTCGACTTTAGACAATTGTCGAAAGCCAAATGTGTTTACAATGATATCACATTGATAATTAGCATGTTCACACGAACATCTCACGCAATATACAATATTAGATTTATTGACTTAGGGAATCAAAATCTCAATGAATTAGATCCGTTATTTATGTGTAACACAAATCTCAGAAGAAATCTTTTATTCGCAATTTAATTCGATGAAAAGGAGAAATCGGAATTCATCAGATATTGTCGTCAATTATACTTCGGTAATAATGTTCAGGAAAAAATTACGCTTAATGGAAGTTGACCAAATCACTCTTTTTTATTAGAAACAATTCGCAGACGATAACAAAATGTGAAATATTTTGTGTTTTTCCGAGGACAAAGTTTGTCTTACGAAAATTTGGGATGGATCATTGTCATTCAACAATTTCCTCTCGATAAGTTTCGATCGGGAGTAATCTAGAGAATCGCCATGTTATTTCGGCTTTCTTTGAAATAACAGTGAATACATCAGTATCGTCAGCAACCTTGGCGCATCTTAACTGAAGATATTCAAAAGCGAATAGTTCGATTAAAAGGATGGATCGAACCGGTCAACCCAATCGAGCAAAAGAAATGTATAGAATACAACAAAAGAATCAATAAACGATCGGGTTAAGCATATTGTGGAAATGGAGGTTATGATGAAGCATTAGGATTTTATAACAGATCTATTCAACTAAATTAAACCATTCCTACAGAGTGCAATATCAATTTGACAGATTCTGTTAGTAGTATCAGTTTGGTTTGTGATGGAATTGATGAACATTCAAAAGCGGTTTCATATTATGGACGAGCGCGGCATCTCCTTTAAGAAAAGCACTGAACGAGAAAATACCACCCAGAAATTTCAGACACTTCATTTATGCGATTAATTCTTTTTAAACCTTGCAAGAACTCCCTTTAGTCTTCAAAGTTCGGCATCGTTGCGTCACAGCGTAATTTATTGTAGTCACTTGCTGGTTGTGCAAGTCAGTGTTGCTTTTTGTATTTTTCGCTCGAAGCGAAAAACTCAAGTGCTAAGCAGATAACTGCTTTAAAAGAGAGGTATAAAGAACGATAGTGTGTTCGTTATCTGCATTTTTCTTGTCGAAGAACGTGTGAGTGTAAAGCATGTCTACCTGTATTGTATCTATTCCCCATTTACAAGTAGGAAAGAAAATGATGCATACATGTTTTTCTAAGCAAGACGCTCTCACTCACTCACTCACGAGCTCAATTCTTCAGAAAATATTCGATCCGATTAGAACTACAAACAATTAGTCAAACCATCGATATTCAGGTCAGAATTGCAATACATATAGGCGAGTTTTTTACACTATAGAATCGACTAACCTATCTCCGACAGTTTGTTTTCGCGATAATTTCTTAAAGACTAATCCAATTGTTCTAAAATTTTGTGCAAAGAACCATCTCGTTCGTATTTCAGTAGAGTTGAAAGATAAACTCAGTCAGTTGCATGATTATTAATTTATCGAAAAAAGTATCAGCACCCTTTATAAATATGAAAAAGAAAAACACGTATCCGCTTCCTAAAACATCCCATGGGGGAGACTGGGTGACTGTCACCCAACTAAGCTTTCTTTTAATTCTCAGGCCTTATAACGTCTAAATTCACATCAAACTTCTTCATGTTGATTCGTTGAATTCGAAGAAAGACCAGCATAATATTGGAGTCGTCATAAACAATCAGCTGGTATTTGAATGGTATTCACCCAAATAACCTTTTACTGAGCTCTCAGTTCCTGTCACATAGCTCATGGTCGACGTGTTCACGGTAGCTGTTTAGATCTCGAGAAAGGCCAACATCGAATTACTATTACTAGGAACAGACGATATCAGATACCTGGGTGGATTTCACCCAAGTCGTCTTGGTATTGTAAAACTCCAAGAGACGTTTCACGAGAACACCACGTTGTTTTAAGTATAGATGGGAACATGTGAATCAACAGATTTCACATGTGACCCCAGAGAAACTAAGGCTCCGTTGTTCTATGTATGAACCCAAAATATTACAGTTTTAGTAGAGTGAAGATGGGTGAGAGTGTGTTTGCTACCTATAACAACTCCAACACCCTCACCCTCAGGTATCTAATCTTTCTCCTACTAATCATTCAACAAAGAAAACATGTGTTGTAGATTTTTCTAATCCGTAACAACGTATACTAAATCTTATCGAAGAAACGAATAAATAATTTGATCATTTCAACAAACTTTTCCTAATTCAATAAATATGGCAACAGCAACTGGCGATAATTCAAAAATCATGCTCCGAATGTCAGACTTAACATCGGAACCAAAACGAATGCTTCCACCCATCAAAGGTTACGAAAAAGAGCAACTCGTTTCTATAGATGAAGCAATTCAACCCATCATTTCTATTGTCCCTGATATCGAGGAAATGGTTTGGACGGTCAAACAAAACTGTCAGCAGCCACGGGACAAAATTTCGACAGACGAATTAGCATCGATTATGCTGTATACATTAGAGTGGTCTCCAGCTGAGAGTTCATTTTATTTCATACTGAACAGAACTCTTCGTTCACAAAATCGAAATGAACTATTACCTTGGTTTCGGTATCTCCGTCTATTCATGGTTGCCCTGTCAAAAGTTTCCACAACATCGCATCGAATGGTTTACCGTGGAATCAAATTAGATATCAGTGGTGAATTTCCAGATGGCAAAACATTTATTTGGTGGGCATTTTCATCGGCATCATCTTCAATAAAAGTATTAGAACAGTTTCTCGGGACCACTGGGCATCGAACCATATTCAATATTGAATGTGATTCAGCCAAAGACATATCAAAGTATTCATTTTATGAGAGTGAAAATGAAATTTTGATGTTTCCAGCAAGACAATTCCAAGTCATTTCGACATTTAACTCGGGAAATCAATTAAAAATCGTACATTTAAAAGAAATTCAACCACCTTTTCCTCTTATTCACATTCCGCCAGCACCATCAACTACTGCTGCTGACGAAAAGATCAAAGATGCAGGAGCACATGCATCGAGTGGTCATAGTTCAAGCAAATATTCAGGTAACACTTACTAAGATGAGAAACTGTATATTTAGATCATTATGAAGAGTGTAAGAAATTATGATTAAAAATCTCGTTAGATATAATGAGCAAATTTACGAAATCAACATAGTGCCTATGATTATTAACGTCATAAAGGTGAACATCTACAGGTTCATAGTTCATATGTGATGTTCATTAGAACTAAGATATGCTTAGGCTTGGGGAAAGAGGAGTTCAAGATTTATTAGCATCTTCATCGGTCAAATTGATCGAAAGTTTGATTCAGACGTTAGCAAAACGAAAGTGATGATTCTATTGACACTTCCAATTCGATTGGTACTATCAGAAGCAACTTCTACTGATTTTCACTGTATGCTGATATTAAGGACGAGTCTTTTGTGCTGCCACATACCTTCCGAAAATATTCAGAGGGTACAAAAACTTCGTCTATAGGAGAATATCTTATTCTTTTTTTAGAATAAATTAACTAAATTATTCCACTAGTTCTTGACCTACTTTACATAAGTTTTTCATATTGATCATGGTACATTCTGTTTTCTTGATTTCTATTTTATTGTAAAATTATCAGCATAATTTTTTCGACTAGAAAATACATTATTTTTGTTTGTTTAGATTCCCCTCAATTCGGTCATCCGTCAGCCAGTACCGCTGCCTCTGCACCAAAGCATAAAGTGGTACCACCTCAGCCAGGTATTCTAATTTCAATAAGTTTATTTTCTTTCGCAAAACATCTATTCTTTCAGCCCAATTGCTTGAGAGTTGCTCAATCATAGACTTTTTTGTTTATCTGGTTCCTAGACAAAAGAGTTCCATAACATTATTCAATGAGAATTGGATAGTGAATCGTGATCACGCCTATTTTCATTCGAATATTTACTCAATCAAAGTACCTGACATGTAGGTTTTTAGAAAATATGAATTAGGTGTTTGATCAGAAAATAGATACGTTCAAGAGTCTGAGCAGTACTAGTTTCTCGCTAGCTTTTATACAAACCAACTAGTTAAACTTAGAGCCTATGTTTATATCCTGCTACAGATTTATAGGAGTTTTGTGAACTTAACGAGATGGGGTGACAATCGATGAACCTGTTCTCAGAATTGGCCAATTGAGCGTGTGAAATCATAATTAAAAGATAATACCGCTCAAAGGAACAATTGATCAACTGTGCATACTAGAATCATTCAATCAGCTTCGGTGTGGATTGAGCATGACATTACTACTCTTTCTTCAAAAGCACGCTTTGACAGCAGACGTACTTTTTGAATTAAAACTCATCATACCCAATATAATATTTATTCCTCTGCTTTCAAGTTTCTCTCCATCTATGTTCAGGTAACGAAGAAACTACTCGACGGCGAACGGCTAGGCCCTGAGTTTTTTTGGTTTACGAGTTACTTCGCCGGAAAATGTGTTGTTTTAGTAAGCGGACCAACGTTTTCTACGTGAAAGACCGTTTCCCCGCTTACTATCGATTGTTCACAATCAAATTTCAATTCCAGTTCTCATCCCTGCGACATACTTTGATATGATCTATGAGCATCTGTTCGCTAAAGCTACTAGAGCACAGTATTATTTTTTTCAAACTTTTCCGCCAGTGTCCATATCGATGACGCCTGAGTATTCTATAGCTGTATTTTAGTTTTACTTTGATCCGTATAGCAAAACTGCAAGAATGAAACGACTTGCATTCAGAAAAAAACAGGTCGAATCAGTGTTGAGTAAAAGAATTCAAAGATCGACATTTCGAGTGGTTATTTCGTAAGGCGATGATGCTCGTGAAACCTGTGTCGAAACACATTAACATTCATTCATCAGATAAACTCGAATGTTAACCATGCCTAGATACGAAATGTCTCCCGCTTTCATTTTCAATTAACCACTGTTGACTAGTCGATTTGTTTCGACCTTGACACGATTCTCCAGATAGATAGCCTGTTTACCTTTAGTTCTTGTTTTATGTCCTACACGAATAAGCCACTATTTGATACTTTCGTTTAGAAATTCAAGAGTTTGCAAAACCTAGTGCTTGCGAGAAACTTCGTTGAATATATTTGTTTTTCTAGTTGTCAACTTTCAACATAATACTTTTGTACATCTATCTCTATGAAAACACAGTAGATGAATAGTAAATTTGTTCTAAGTATCTGTATGCAATATGATTTGTTTGCAGATAGTAAGCCAGACATAATTTATCTGGCGAAGAAAATATGTGAACTGGGTATTCGTGGCCGTTGCATCCATTCGCTTAATCTATCAATGATCAATTTATAGAAAATAGATGAAGTCTAGTAATACAAATAAGTAGTAAATGAACCTTTTCATCCTTGCGCAAAATGTTATAAGTGTCGTTGTTACTATTCGTTTTTTATACGTTCTCGACCCCAAAAATCTAGCTTGTGATTAGGTTTTGAAATACAACAGCATATTTGAATAGAACACTGATTCAAATAGTTCGTATAAAACATCACTTTCTTCACAGCCAACAATCCAATCATTTTTACTTCGAATACTTCCAATAAATGGATACTGGGCTTGGCATTTTACTGGTGATCAGCAGATTTGGAAGATCACAATACATCAGTTACATAATCTTCGTTTTCAGACAATGAGAAATATAATGTTTGGGAGTGAGTGAAGCTACAGGACAAAATTATTGGGTGGCAATGATTCGTTTTTTATGCGATCTTAAGTGGTTGCGATATGTCGAACGCCTTCATCAGAACAGAATTATCATTCTTGAATGTTATGCATGCAATATGAATAATTCCAGTTTCATGTCATCGTTCAACAATCCAAAAATTGATCGTGTTATTGAGAACGTATGACATAAATGATCATGGTCGTTACGAAAACTGGGGAAAGGCAGATGAGAACATGTTCGTTGATTTATTATACTATCGCAATGACAAAGAGACCACCGATATATTTAGTTTCGTATCCTACAAAATGAGTGTATACATGTCGCTTTGGTATATACTCATTCATTTACTATAAGATATGTGATTACCTACACATATTACACGTTTTTGTACGAAATATATACGGCAGACAAATGAAACACTGATCGACTTTGCTCAGGAACTACGTATCTTTCTTTTATCGTGCTTATAAAAATCTTCTTTTTCACGCGAGCAATGTTAAAAGATATAATATTGGTTAAATTAGTTTCTACAAGATGCAATCCTTCATGAACTTCTCACGCCGTCACCTCCCATTGCAGTACGACAAACATATTTGAATAAGAAATTCGTGTGATTAATTCCTCTACAACGTAATTGATCAACATTGACTAAATATCTCTCTCGAAGAAACAAGTTGGAAACATAATTGGACAGGAAGATTACAACACTACTGTTCCTTTATGTAGTCAATACTTTTCCCCCTAAAATATTCTTTCCGGGTTACCAAAAAACATTATTTTTGAATGCGATACCCTTTCGTATTAATCATTTTTCACATCGTATTCCATTTTCTCCTCGAATCATAACTGGAAGTCAACACAACACAGAAAAGTGAATTCATTCATTTCACCAAGCGTTATCCCTATTCTTTTGTAGCATTCTTAATTACTCGTCAATCAAAACAAGATACTTCCACTTTAAGTGAGGGTGATACATGAACAACCTTCTTCGTATTATGCATAATACACGTGGCACTCAGCATGCTCTAGGACAAACCGTTCAACGCGTTTCACCAAAATACCCGAGCATACCGCTGATCACAACCATCTTTTTACCCTCACACGCGCAATTCAATACTCAATATAAAGCTAGCCTCGCATCATTCACACAGCATCAGAATACCTGATTGGTTCCACCCATTCCTCAGCCCCACGTTCATTAACTGATTATCTAGCTTCGATCATTTGCTGCGCCATTCACCAAACAAACGCACCGCGCCTTGCAACTTGCTACGACGTTCATTTCTAATGTGACGTAGTGTGGTGTGAGTGAGATGTGATGGTTGTTTGTGAGTGAGGATGAGAGGCGGAGAGAAGTGTTTTGGGGAATGTTCGTTAGTGATGTGATGTAGTGTGGTGTGAGTGAGATGTGATAGTTGTTTGTGAGTGACCTAGATATGTGCATAGCCGGGTCATTTGTGTTTGTGCGAGAAGCATTAAGTTTGTGTTGGAGATTATGTGTTTCTTAAGATCCTTCCGTGCATGTGATGCTCTTTGTGTGAAGATGAGCGTGTTTTTACTGGTGTTTGATTTTATATGAATAAATGAAAAGCTTCAAGTGGATAAAATACATCTGGAGCACTGACATGTGGTTTAGCAGTTTTAGAGAGAAATGTGAATCGACATTCACGGAAAATATGTTCAAGAATGGTTGTTTAATAGTTTCTTCGAGGTTGGCATAGTGGAGGGCTCAGTATGTGGCTTTGACGCAAGGACGAGTGATGATGGGCGCATTTATGTCACAGATGGTACTTTTTTTAGGTGCGAAATATACTGTGGTGGTATGGGCGTTGGCACCTGTCGATAATGCGGGTTATATGGTGATCTCTATAAGTCGGGTCTGATGTATATTTTACGAGCAGAGAAAACTGTCTATGAATGTTCGTTTATACATGTTGATATATATGTCGAAGGTTTCTCACATAATCCTCCGTCGTATTTTTCGCCATGTTTTACATCAAAAGTCACCGCGGAGCACGTGGATAAGATAGAGTGAGAAAGGGTAAATAATATGCTGACGATGTCTGCTGCACACGCAGCATGTACTAAAGTGCCGCGATATGTGCACTGTTCAGTCGGGTCGAGATGTCCAATTAAACAAGCCGTTTCGCCGAGAAAAATGCAAAATTTGATTTTCATATTAAATACTGTTTCTTTCGTGGAACACTTCATCTTATTCTATCAAAAACGGGTAGCTTACATCACATATTTCAAGCAGTCAATAGATCAAATATCACCCTGCTTAGACCATCTTATAGTATCTGAACGACACTCCTTTGTGCTCAGATTACTACCAACGCTCTTCGCTAGAACATGCTATATCCATTCTTTCAATAGCACCATTATCTCACCAGTCGAGTGCACGATCAGCTGAATGTCAATACAAAAAAAACAATATCACAATGCCAGATATAATCCAGGGATCACGAGCATTCTGTAGGAGATGTGCATGTCCAAACACTCACGAAGTTGATATGATGTGATTATTGAATTGTTGAAGTGGAGTTGAAGTTGGAACAATCTCCAGGAGTTTGTGTGGGTCAATACTGAAATTATATCAGCCAGCTAATTTTACATGTTCTACCACGTCGGTGACATCAACTATAGGAAATTTAAAAGAATAAACGATAGAGAGCGTTTGATTGGTGTACTAATTAATATTTTAATCATTCGCTTCAAGCTTCATAGAGATCATAGCTGTGTTAAACTATTTAAAGAAAAACAAAATGGAGTTTGTTGGAGTTGGAACTGGAATAAAGAATATCAACGATAGAGATTAGTAAATTTAGCCTAACAAACTATTTTGAGAAGTTTGTGTTTCGCGGATAATATTGATGTGGAATGTAATCAGTCTTAGTGAATGATAAAAGCATATGTATATGGAAAATAAGGATAGCCGGATGTGAGTAACTGAACTCTGATTTCTATTATTCGGTAGTGTATTTACTTCATCTGAAAGTACTGTGAGGTAATAAAATTCACTGTGGTGAACTACGTTTCGTACCACTTTATTTTTCCGAATTCCCGGAACCGATGTCTGTTACGAACACCGTGACAAAAAAGCCACTGCCGATTTTATCATGAAGTCCGTAATCGAAACCATGATGTATATATGCCAGATGTCCGAAATGATGTATAACCGGTAGATCGTAACTATAACACTCAATATCAATCAATAAGGATCGAGCGGTACAAAGTAACCGCGCCATGAAGTTTATTTATATTTGATTGATTGATCATGTCTCTGCAGTATGTTTGCCGTAATTAATGTACACTCGTTCCATTCGTCATCTAAGCAATCACAATGCACGAGTTATAATAGTGATATTGTCACTTATTTAACAATTGTACTTGGAGACCAAATTTCACTATTTAATCGGCATGTGAAAAGTACGAATTTATTCTTTTTTTAACTGACATTGATCAATTACCACGTGAAATTGATTTTGAGCAAATCTTGTCGAAATCAATCGAAAACGTAAAGAAACTCAGTTATTTGCTGTTCTAGAACATACTCAAAGGCAGTCACGTCAATTTCAACATATTTCACGAAGTCGGTGAGAGAGGGTCAAAGCATCGCATCAAAATGCGAAGAGAATCGTTAATTCATTTCGATTCCAAATTGGTGTTGAATAAGCTGAATTCTCAGAAAACCAAGATCAACAGAGAGCAACATAAAAATTCTGGAATCATTCGCCATCACTTATGCTTGGAGATTCATTTCAGACAAATTATTTCACTCATGAAGTGGAATCATAATTATAAAACTCTTCATGTACGGCGATCTACTCAGTTAATTAAATCTTGTTGGTCAATTTGAGAATCTTTTTCTTTTACATGTTGAATGATTTCTTCTAATTTGGTAATCTTTTGTCGATATTCTTCTTCTCGGGTTCTCAATCCCGAGTGGCTAGTCGAGAACAAGATGTTTTTCATTTGTTGGTTGATGAGGAGAGTAAATCAACATGAAATTTCTCTTCTACAGGCCACACAGATAAGGTGAAAAAGGACGAGCAACTTCAGCGATTCGTTCAGATGAAAAACCACTCACTGAATTAAAAGCAAGATAAATTACCGATGAAGATTCATTCCAATTTTTGTCATGTTCGGTACCAGTCGCTTAAACAAAAAAGATAAGCAAAGATCAAATATTGAACACTTGCTCGATATCTTCTCATATGAGTGGTGTAACAAATCGAATAGGTAAATGTGAAACTTGAGTTAACTCTTGATGAAATCCAGTGATTACCCATTTGTCTAGATCATAAGTCACAAAGCTTCAATGATTTGACGGACAAATCCTTCTTCATAGTTGAGCGGTTAATATCTCACATGGAGCCAATGACTAACTCAATAGAAATAATAAATATAATAGAGATTTTTCCATTTGATCAATTGTGAATTCAAGATGAAGATTTGAACTTGTACGATTCAACTTCAACAATCACTGTTTTTGCTTAGTATCAAAAGAAAATAAAACTTTACCTCATAATTATTGTTGCTCGGATCAAATAAACCGATAAATTCGATTATGCCTTTTGTTCATTTTTATTGAGTTTCGATGTTCATGCGGTATAAATCACGTGAATGAAAACAAAATCATGTTTATTCAAAGATAACGCCATTCAGTACTATGATTCATCTTTTGCCATTGATGGATTCAATCAAAGGCTCTTACTATATGGTCGACATAAGAAAAATCAATAGTTATTCATTATCTTCACTTTATTTGAATTCTCGGATCATTCCTTCTCGTCATAAGGAACCAGATGAGATAATAGTGGAAAATAGTTTGCTTTACAATTTCTTTATGCTTTCGTTTTTATTCCAATGAAAAGATTTTATAAGTATTACCATAGAAGAGTTTTTCATTTCAAACAACACATAAGCAAAGCTCGAATGATTAATGTAATCGAAAAGGCAAAGAGAACAATACTGGAAACAAGTCGATCATTGTCACTGTCGTTGAGTGTTGCAGCACCAGTTCAAGTTAAAATTATAGCAGGAATAAGAAAAATAAAACCAAGAATTGTACCAATGACAGAAAAAACGTGCCGACCAACTAACACTACTACCACATAGATGATCAACTTTCTTCGGTTCTAGTTGAAATTCTACGACAAAAGATTCTGTGCGTTCTAAATAAATGAATAGAATGACACTTTATGTGATTGATAGTCAAATAATTTACCTTTCATTTTAGTTTCATTTTACAAATTCATAATACTGAATGGTTACTTCAGTTCTTTTTGTACAAGGGTAAGAATGATACATTTTTTCTTTCTTTCTGTATAAACGACGTTCAAATAGAATAAAAAATGAATATGAAATATGTTGTGATGTAACACTTCGAAAATGTCTATGAGAAGTTTTGCATTTTTTTCGTTCTTTCACTCGTACATTATTTGCATGGTGGGTTTTACAATGTATGAATTACCCCATTTATATTCGAATATAAAGTGTGACATGAACATTGAAGTTCGTCACTAAATATGAAACCTTTATTTTACGAAATGATCTCATAAATATACGGAATTTCGATGAGATGAAAAGGAAAACAGAGAAAAGCTGCAATAAGTTGATATTTGAAGAAATGGAGATCTTGAACTCAACATATTTAATTGAAGTATCTCGATGTTAGAAAAGTGCAAATTTCTTTTCCTATGAAAATAAAAAAGATGATAACTCTGGATATCTTCGAAGGCTGTGTTCAGAAAATCATAATCTTTGTCCAACGACACTTTCCGCGAAATGATCAACTCAAAAACGAATAATGCAAAAGAAATGTTTCCCTCAAGCAGGTGGAACTCGTCGACGTTAGCCGGAAGAAAGTCGTTAAGGATGTTAATCCATCCGAAACATGAGCTAAATAATTAAATATTATTTGGCCAATCGTTCAACAGTTTCATGTGTTATTCAAGTAATTAATAAAATAAATGATAATGGCAGAAATCGGACTGAAATGGAAACTAAGCTATTTCTGTGATACGCAAATTCATCAGATTTGTCTAATATGACACTCGTGAAAATTTTGCAATAATTCACGTATAGTTACTATGAAGATATTGACGAAAATCTCACTCGGCTTTTGAAATTTATCTTGTAAACGAACGAATGTACCAACTGGAATAGTCAGGAATTCTGAGATGTGTGATGGCATTCGAATGCTCACGTCGAATCTGAAATATAATACACCCGCATTCACGCGCTCTGAATTCAGCTTTGATAAAATATTTTCTTCATAAATATTGTCTAAAAATACGAGGAAAATATCAAAGATATAATTTTGCAGTTTTATTTTATTATAGTGAGAAGCAAACGACATAATCTTCTGATCGTGCCAGGAGATCTATTTTACAATGTGTTGGTAAGTGTCAATCGAAGAGATGCTCTGAACATAATTTCCATGTCATCCTGAGCAATTCAACGAAGATCATTATAGATACTGAGGTCATTGTTATTGTACCGATTAAATCAGTACTAATCTATACCAAATGAAATCATCACGAATAGACGCGATATCCAGCTTTTTGAGCAATGGCTGTCGTTGTGTATCATATGAATCAACAAAACATGGACGTGTGCAATTTATCTAAAACAATCAATATTTAGTACAATCGAATTTCAGTTGTGCATGCTCACAACATCCGACTTGAATGATACAGGTTCACTCCATTATTCAAGTTGTTTCCGCAGTAAACTTCGCGGTGTCAACTTCATGTTGACAGTATTCGAAGTATCTCTGACTTTCTAACGTCAGATAGAAGGAGCTGTAGGACAAAAGCCATCAGTGATAATAGGAAGAAAATCCATAATAATTCCATTGGTTTCGGTGGAGTAGATCTGTACGAAGACATTGGTAAAGCGATGTGCTGTGTAGACTAAGTTAAGTTTGCAAATATTTCGTCCTTATAAATGAACGAGTAACAAAGAATCTGACCCATTCGTGTTGCTCTATACACAGAAAGGTCAGTCGTTCCTTTTCGTAAAATGTGAGGTCATCATATAAGAATAGCAGTTCTGTTTTTGCTTGACGAGGTCAGAAGTCATTTCATAACGATTGATTATGAATTCCATCTTTTCAAGGGGGTCCCTAAGCGTCGTTGATGGAAAATATTAGACCCTTTCTGTTAAAAGTTTTGAAAAGTAGACTTTATGTAATCTTTAACAGTATAAATATCAGAAGGGTCTAAGGTTGGAATAGTTGAATAATTAAATTCAACTTCCAAGTTTGATACTACTTGTTTTTTGCAGTGCATATTAAATTTTAAAAATCGAAGCAAAAAACAATTCTAATTCAATTGCCCTTTTTTCACATAAAATAGAGCATTGTACATACATTCATCCTAGTGATCAAATTTCAAGTAATCTGACACATATGCTCGATTATTTTAAAATAAAATCAAACTAATAGAGTCGCATTTGTAATAGAACCAACTTGCAATGAAAGTTGAAATTAGTTTCTTGGCAATACTTTTTTTCGGTTGTACACTGATTGATGTACAGAGCAAGCAAGTCAACGATGATTGTATGGTCGATCCTGGATTTATTGACGAATGTGTTCAATGGATCAATGCAACCTGTGAGAATGCAACATTCGTGACAGATAGACTCGCATATATGGATACGTGTCCTATGTATACTATATTTTGGAATGCACCGTATTACAATCTCACGATTCTATTCGATAGTCATTTATTAAAACCTTATGAGCTCTGTGTTACACCTGTTAGATGCACAAAAGCGTTTCGTACAAACGAAGAGGACCAAGAAATATCGGTTGATTGGGATTTAACAAGTTTAGAACCCGTCTGTTTTGGAACAAAACGCATGGATAGGCCAACAATGAAATTTCGCTTTGATGCGCAACATCAGACACGTTGTCGAAGAACATTTATTAATTTTCACTACATAGTGTAATTGAATGTTTTTCAAAATTGTAACATCATTCAATGAAACACTAAATAATAAAAATTCGTGAGAATCGAAAATATTGATTCTTTAGCCTCTACACATATGAGAAAAGAATCAACGAAGAGTGGATGGATGTTAGTACGTGTTTATTCTCTCTCAGCCTCACATCCTTTCTCTTGCTTCACTTGCGTATAAGAAAAACGACAAGGAAGAAATGAAGAAGGGAAAAAGGGCAACATAGATCATAATGAACAGAAAAAAAAAACATAATTTTTTTACTTCGATGGCATATAGGCCCCGCAAACGATCTTCTTTCTTTTGCGTTTCCGTTTTTCAATTATGCAGAAATTCCTGCTTCTGTAAAAAAAAGATATTCATTGAAAAAATCACTCTTTTAAGAGATATTTGGTAATATGAATAGATAAAAAGATATGTTAAGTTATGCTCAATTTGCATTTACATTCTGTTTTGTGAAATAAATGAACATCAACAGTATGAAACAATATCAAGCTGGACAACTCAACTTATATGCCGAAAACTGTTGTCGATTCACTTGAACATAATCCATCACATCAATGCAAATCAATATTTCCAACTCTTCATTTTAGCTCGAAAAAATGACTTTACTTGAGTTGAATTGTTCACTTCTAAAACAAAATTTTTCCATTTTACATTCACTGGATCAAAATTTGGAAAGAACTTTCATTTTTGTCAGAATCTCACCAGAAGTATAAATCCCATCCCGTTAAGATCTCTGACATTCATCACATCTATTTTAGATTGTTTAGCATATTTTCAATTAGTCTCTTGATTCATCAGAGCAAAACTAAAGTTCTATATATTCAATTTTCACTTGAAATGCGTTCATTTTGACGCTACAACATGACGTTTGACCATATTCCTTATTTTGCAAACTCCTTCGCTATGATCCCTGACAGTATATATGAAGATGTAATGTCTGGTTATTTGTTAGGAGAGAGAGAAAAAAAGTAAAAGAATTCTTCCAAATAAAAAGCTTTTGCTCGACATTAGGAAAAAGGGAAACTCAGATGAATTGAATAATACAAAGTTCACATCTTTTGCAGAAGAAAAACGTGACGACTGACACAAATGTATCCATAGTTAGTACGAAAAAAAAAGGTTCTATAGAATAAGATGTCATATAGCTACGGTAGCAATCATCATTTTGCGCATGAAGCAATTAAAAACATAGGTACGTTTTACCTAGAATTGATTAAGTTAGCTGCGTAGCTAAAGTTACGATGGAGTTTGACAAATCGTTTGGAAATAATACAATTGGATGGAGTCTTGTAGTTTTATCTCAGAATCATATTCTTCTATCGATTTCATCAATTGGAGTATTTCTTCATTTCTTATTATGGTTTCAATTGTTCTATCATAAAATTCGATTTGACTTTAGTTTTATCTTTCCTCTTTGTTATATTTCGACCGATATTTTTCTTATAATCGGATATTTTGTTCAATATGGTATTCGTACCACAGCTAAAACAACAACATCGCAAGTTTCATGTTATTTTGAAGCTTTTTTTGGGATTTATTTTAATATACTCGAAACATGTTATTTAGCTGCTATCAGTGTTTGTCGTTATTATCAAATCGTTCGAAATGAGAATGTTTATATAAGACATTCATATGGTATTTTATTCATATGTATCATAATTCCTTGTATAATTATGATTAATATGATTGTTCAATATGAAATGAGTTGGTGTATTGTTATTGAACAACCTGGATCAAGTTGTTCACTTGCTTTTAACTCGATTTCAGTTCGAATATGGAATCTTACTGTTATTTTTGCTTTACCAATTATGATTAGTTTAATTACATCAATTCGATGTATAACTTATCTTAAGCATGCATATTCTCAACAAATTCTTACACGACGAAATCATCATCATCAATTAATTTGTCGTTTTTGCACTTTTTATGCTATTTGGTTGATTCTCTGGGCGCCATATGTTTTATTAATTCATCTTGATATCGAAACAATTGGAAATCAAATAAATTTTCTTGCATCTCTAGGAAATACTATAGAAACAACTATTGATGGCATTATGCTTAGCGTTTTAGACAAGCGTCTGGCAATGGCTTGGGGGAAAACTTTCAATATTGTTCTTCGACGATTAAATTGGAATCAACGAAACAAAGTAAATCCGCTACACCAATTAACGTTGCCTGTTAATAATAAAACATATCTAAAGAACAATAATACGCATGCTATTAAGTCTGTGTAAAGTTGATAGAATATATGAAATGTCATTTTTTTCCAATGATTGAATTATTTGAATTTGAGTCTCATTTTAATAAGAAAATATCTAAGTATCCGATTAAGATAAACTTTCAGCTCGACTATTGATCTGTTTAACTGTTGATTTGCCATCTGCTATTAACGAGGTGTTATTTAAATAGAAGAATATTCTTGTTTATCCGGTCCAAAAGAGCAACAATACTGATCTAATCACTTCATTTTTAGTAAACATGAGTCCTAACGAGCAATTTACTAATTGTTATCATCAAGAAAATGACGGCGTTTTAAGCCGACTTCTATCTTCTTGGAAGGAGTAATCTTCATAAAATAATCTAATATTTTGTCATTTATAAATAGAATATCCTTTTATTCTTTCTTACTTATGAAATATCAGCATAATAGTGCGGTAATTGTGAATAACAGCACGGCTCGATTGTCATGTAGAACAATTTGCATCATTAGCAAAATATTCCGCGCGTTAAAATCATTTGTTGCTTTTCTGTGAAATAGATTAATATATGTAACTTTTACATACCGTTGGTTACCTATATTCGCGTAATCCATTCGATTAAACAAGATGCCATTACTTTGATTAGGAAGTACGCTAACAGTACCTGAACTACTACTTACTGTACATATTTCAAATCAACGGTTCTTGTTAAGATCGGCAACAATCGTCGAATATAAAGCGACACCTATTGCATGACTAGCTCGAGAAGTAACCATACCATTGCTCGGATTGGGAAAAACATTTACAGTGTTCACATCAGTACTATAGCCGCAACTATATCAAATTACGTGTGTTGAGAAGAACAATACTAATGCATTCATCAAAACAATCTAAACGTATGTATAAAAATTCAATACATGTCGCATTCGATGCGTAGTGGAAGAGGTGATTATCAAGAGGGAATGATGATGACGCAGATCGAAGGTATAGAAACAGAATGATTCCTAAATATCGATGTGCTTTGGTTTTTTTAAAAGATACGATTATAGATGCAACAGTACAAATAGTGAACAATTAAACTTTTAAAGCTCGTGCTTTTTTTAAAATTTTATTTATAACGTCCATTGTTTCTTCATTGTACTATTTAGTTATTGTAACAACAACTATCATGAATTTTTCACGAAAATATTTTGAAATGTATCGGCTTTTTGTTGACGTACTTTTTCATTTGTGGTAATTTGAAGCCAATTAGAAAACACATCATGTGTGGAAACGAAAATTGTTGTCTACTCAATTAAGTTCCAAAATCTGTAAATCCGATTATCTGAGATCATTAGATGATCGCGTAACATGAACGCTGTAAAATATTTTCTCGTTCATCGAGTGACGGCAACCGCTTCCTATACGATCATCAATTCGAAAAAAGATTAAAACATTGACCATAGTGAAATGATAGTCAAAGAGAATATTTCATATTCGGACCGAGACTATCGGCATATCTTTAATAACGTTAATGAAGCGAGTTTCTCTTCATTATTTATCTAAAGATAACATACAACACACCCTTTGCTTATCAGAAGAGAAAATATTCTTTGTTTTTTTACTCTTTATATACAAAATGATACTCACATATCTCACCCACATATATCGTTTAAATAGAATAAAATATTAAGGAATAGTCAGATCATTTTTCTCTCTTTAAGATTCTTCATATAAAACAATGCTACATTTGTTTATAATATTTTTTCTTATATCTATCTGTCATACTGTAAGTGTTTCTATACTTAGTTTTTATATAGACACATATTTTCATATACGTATTTATATCAGAAAATAAGTTCAGCAGAATCAATTTCACGAAATTTTACTATCATTGGTAATGATTTTATAAAAGATGGTCAACGTTTTCAGATTGTATCAGGAAGTATACATTATTGGCGTAGTCTACCTCAGGTAGGAACATAAATCCATACAAACAAAATTGTAACTCTCTATTAAAACATCTTCGTTTCGAACTAAAAAAAGCAATTTTCTTTTCAGGATTGGAAAGATCGTCTGACATTAATAAAAGAATTAGGATGTAATACAATTACAACATATATCTGGTGGGCATTACATGAACCTGAAGATGGAATATTTGTATTTGATAAACCAGAATATGACTTTGTTTCATTTATCAAATTAGCACATAGTCTAGGTTTATTAGTTATTGTTCGTGTTGGACCTTATATAACAGCTGAAGTTGATTTTGGTGGATATCCATATTGGATAATGAAAAAAGAAGGAATTTTTATACGTCGTCCGAATAAAATGTATTATCAATTAATAGATCGTTATTTTGATAAATTAATTTCATATTTTGTTCCATTACAATATCATTTAGGTGGAAATATAATCAATTTTCAAATTGAAGATGATTCCGATGTTCCAATTATTCCATTCGATGAAACACATCAATATTATGGATATTTACGTGATGGATTACTTAAACGTGGTATTCAAACATTAATAAACACACTTGCTTGGCCCGATAGTTTATCATTCGAAAAAGCCATTATTCCCAATACATGGACAGCAACTGAATATACAATTCATCATTCAACACGCGATGCATACGCTGTAGTTCGAAAACATGCACCAAATCAAAATCCATTTATGGTTATGGAGTATTATCCAGGTTGGGTTGATTTCGAAGGAAATCATCATCATGGAACCATGGATAGTGAAGAATTTGCTCGAGGTGTTGATGAGATTTTATCCTATAATGGTTCAATTAATTTTTATATGGTTTTTGGTGGAACAAATTTTCAATTTAAAAATGGCGGTGATTGGACGTTAGAATATCATTCGATAACAACATCGTATGATTATGATGCAATGATAACAGAATGTGGTGATGCACATCAAACGAAATTTCAAGCTGTACGTAATGTGATTGCGAAATATATTCCATTAAAACCGATACCAACACCATCTCCATCTCCCAAAGGTTTATATGGAACGATTTATTTTGATTCTTATGCAAAATTAATTGATAATCTTTATCCATTCGATGTTATTTACAATATAGATGAACCAATTCAATTTGAATATCTTAATCAAAGTTATGGTTATGTTCTTTATTCGACACAGTTAATAAATTTTACTCATTCATCTCAACTATTAGTTTTACCATGGATACAAGATCGAGCGGTGATTTTATTAGATGGAATTTTACAAGGGATTGTTGGATGGAGTGAAAAAGATCCAATTACAATTTTAAATTTACATCCAGTGAAAACAAATCCAAATCCACGTTTAGATATTTTAGTGGAAAATAAAGGACGTTGTTGTGCTGTTCTATCAGGTTTTGATTGTAGTTTTAAAGGTCTGAAAGGTAGACCTCGATTGAATTTTCGAGAATTAACCAATTGGACAATAACAAAATTACCTATGGATGAAAAATTAACAAATCAATCGCATACATTTCATTGGAAACTCGTATCATCGAATATATCGATTGTATCACCGACATTTTATCGTAGTACGTTTTATATCAATATGTCTCAACCGTTACATTCGTTTCTTTGTACGAACAATTGGGGACATGGTTTTATCGTGATTAATCATTTTAATATTGGTCGTTATAGTGAAAAAGGACCACAACGTACACTTTATGTCCCAGCACATATCTTAAAACAAGGTCTTAATGAAATTTTAGTGTTTGAAAGTGATCGAAAAGACATGTTGATGAATATAAATGAGAAAAACATGACTTTCATTGATTATCCAATGTGGAGTATTTGAATAAACGAAGCAGAAAAGCTTATAAAAAATGTGAAAACTTTTTTTTTCAATTTCTATTTTTGTTTTCAATGTGAAGGTGAAGTGGAATATCTACAACACATCCTCACCCTCAAATTTCAAACGATACCAATTGAAATGATTCATTGATTTCTCAGATATTGGTTTCCAAGGTAAATTAGTATTGTTATCGGGATTCAAATACTGTTTATCTTCTCCAATCAAACCAATTTGATAAATCCATTGATTTTAAACGATATTTCTTCCATTAAACATCACTGTATCATTGTCTTGAAATGCAAATCCACGACTAACTGTTTCCATATGAACTGCACCACTATCTAATCCCATAGTAGCATCGACTAATTTTAATTCTATCATATCATTTTATTTGAAATTGAAATCAGTAATATTCAATGTAACATTGACATGAAATTCATTTGTTTGATTGAATACATTTATTCGTCATTTTCAATTGAGAAAAAGAAATAAACTTTCACAACGCATAGGTAAAATTAAAGTTCTACTCTGTAATTCGATATCAAATTCATTTAACTGAATCAAAGTTGTATAGAATAGATAATCAGATGTATCCAATGTGGTGGAATAGTGTTCTTGCATAACACTTGTATTAGTAACCGGTAGATTTTCATGGAGAGAAGACTTTTTAATTCTGTATTTAGTATTATTTGTTGTTCACAACAGTTCCGGTAGGTATTCTATAGAAGAAAAGTTCTTAAATTGAAGTGTAGCTAACTTACAAGGTATATTATCAGATAAATTTGCTGAATTGTATACTACAGTTCTACTTTGACCGTCAATAATCAGAGCACTCCACGCAGATATCGTAGAACTGTTTGATCTAATTTGCCATTGTTATTAATTAAAAATACGACTGATGGAACTGAAGTATTAATCGGCAAATCATAAGTAACACTAACAACCCCTTGTTTTGTTATATTAACAAGAAGAGGTGGATGATCACCAAAGCTCAATAGAGCAGGGACATAATAATTAACAATATTTAATAAATTTCTCAAATGATTAAAATGATTATTATTTGGTAATCCTATTTCTACAATCGGTGGATCAAATGAATAAGTGGTAGAATGAGTGCGACCAGCAGCTTTATCATAACTGGTACCTCCGTACATCATATAAGTATTGACCAATGTACAACTCTTAACCAATCACCGAAATAATAATCATTATTAGTTTTGGCATCCATATCTGCATATCTCCATGTTATCCAATAACATACTGGACAAACCGAATGAGCCATATAAGCAGCAGCATTTGCAAGAGGAAATCCATATGCAATATTATCGTATTCATTTTCGATTTGAACCATAAATATCGATTCACCATTTGACGCAAAAAGTCAAGTTAAATATTTGACAGCTACTATTGGAAAAGTTTGCATTTCGTTCTGCCATAATTGATTAATCGTTCGAACTTTAATATATTTATATTTATCAGTAAATCCTTCGAATTTTACTAGTTCAATAAATTTAGTTACATTACGACGTTCAGAAGTTTAGTCATAAACATCAGTTTCGATTTCATGATAAGACCAAAATATATACGTGCTAATACAATTTACTCCAGTTAATTTTACCATTTGAATTATACGAAGCCAATCATCCGGATGGATGCTTGGATAATGGATCGATCCACATTGAACTAATATAGGAACATCATTTAGATGAAGTGAACGCATACTAGCAGTAACATAGTACGGACGATCACGAAACTGTAAATAAGGTAAAATATGAAGCTGAAACTTTCATAGAGCCAGAACCTTGTACAACACCGAACAATAGCAATAAAATCAATGCATAATACTGAGGCTTTGTTGTGTTATTCAATGTGTGATTAAAACTAATTGACGTAACAACGAAGAAAAACATGGACTTGATCACTTATTGTAACTTATCGTTTTTTAAAATTCTTTTGTAATAGAACACGTTGAAAAGTGGTATGTTGTTTTATTCTTATCAGTTCGCTATAACATAAACACCAATATTCACTGTAAACAAACTAGAGATGATGACTTTCGTTACTGCTGCAGCATTGATTTTATTGTGATTACAATAATAGACTGGAGGAGTAGCGTAACCGCCATCCTCGGTTAGTTGTTAACTAAACACTACATCCGACACAAATTTTTGTACGAGAGATATAAAGAGATGACTAATGCACGGACAGCTCCTATTAATCATGATGTCAGTGTCTACCTTCATCGTGACCAAAAGAAGAAACATGGAGTTAGGATTATTAACAAGCCAAAGTATATATGAGTGAGAGTGTTTCTCCTTTTCGATCGTTTTTCTCGAAATAGTGAGGAAATATTGTTTCAATATAAGAGATACAATTTCTTGGATGCCTACGAATACAAAAAAAAGGAACATGCAAGAAAAAAGGAGAGAAACAAGGACGATTACTCTATAACTTTGTAAGACAAGATCGGGATATACCAGCTTGAGTGATTTTAATGATATTATCTTTAAGATCCAGACAAGTGAGTGTCTGTTAAAAGAAATCAAATGAGATCTAACATTAATAAGTAGATAACAAGAATGATCACTACATTATACTATCTAATACATCAGCAAGATATTGAACTCCGACATCTCTGATTTGATTTCGTCCAAGATACAATATGGTAAATGTCTATGAACAAAGGTAAATATATATATAAAGGTAACAAATTACATATAATCACTTGATTATCTCGCAGTGCATCAGTAAGGTATTACATTCCAGGCAATGTTCACTAAACTAAATGTCTGTTAATTGAAAAGATATCTATGACAAAGATCAAGAAAGAGTGACAATCACATTGTTAGTAAGTAATTCATCGGCAACATATCGAGCTTGAGAATATGGATAGAATAAGAAATACAAATCGAATTAATTTATTGGCATGATCGATAATAACATGATTTTTTTTATGAGATATGCTTTTTATGAACATGACATTCTGTTTGTATTTTGTTGCTTCTGTAGTTTGAATTTGAACCCTCTTCAATTATTAAAAATGATCGGTATCAAATGAATACAAATTATTTATTCAAAAGTATAGTAATGTGATGATACCTATTTACATACAAAACTAGTTAGAGGTTTTACTGAGTATATCTGCGTGTGTTTGTTTAGTTAGACAATGGCACAGAACATGATTGCCTGCAAAAGAATATTCTGCAATTTTGCGTCTTAATTAGCTTTTCTCTTACATAAAGTATAATAAAATATGGGTTTTATTTATTTTTCATCTATACTTGAATTGGGCTTTGTGCTGCACATCAAGAAACCTTATATATGATGTAATTTAAATGAGAAATATGTGAATATTGGGAATTATTTTGTAAAAAATAAGACGCAATGAAGATGAAAACAAATTTTATATCTATCCGGACCGATATACCTGAACGATCAAAATATACGAAAGTAAATTTGTTTAATTTTCCATCACACTCATCAATGTATTCTTTAGAATAATCAACATTTGAGAACAACAAACTCACCGAAAAGAGTGATCCATATAACTGTCAAGCCATCACGCTACAATCAGTTCATCGGTTCTCGAGATATCTCACGTTCTTCACGTTCTGATTATTCGCATAGATATAAAAAAGATTCGACTAATAATTCACAGAAAAACAACAATAGTTTTGTTCCATCAAACCTGCAGCGCCAAGCACATGTGATGTCAAAATTAAGAAGCGATAATTTACAGACCACACTCGTCAACAATAATGCTCCATCCACTGGGACTCTTAGAAGTGTGCCATTGAATTCATCTGACGTTAGTTTCATTTGATATTATGAGAAACATACATTTAATGCTAATAATATTCTCTCCAGATCAAAACTACGTGGGCAAATACAACAGACTATCATTACAATGGTTTCCATCACAATTTAGATAAGAAAAAAAAGAAAAAGTACTCGATGTTTATGGTCTCACTCCATAATATTGCTTCGAAACTTTATTGTAGATACAGAAGATCATGCTTTATTTGCTCGATAATACTTTTCCTACTCTTAGTTACAGCAACCATTATTGCTCTTATCGTTCTTCTGATCAAATCTAAGGCAAAAACGAACGATAAGTTATATACAAATATACTTCGTTGGAATGCAAGTGGCATCACAATTGCTGGTATAACTGGTCGAAGTGGTGCTAATGCAAGTCAACTGAACAATCCATGGGGATTAGCATTGACTTATGATCGTACACTATACGTTGTAGATCGTTTCAATCATCGAATTCAAAGATTTTCACCAAATTCTACACAAGCAACAACTGTAGCAGGAAACGGTATACTCAGTAATACACTTAATTCTTTATCTTATCCAACGAAGATCGTGCTTGATTCAAATGATAATCTCTATATAGCAGATGGCTTTAATCATCGCGGATTATTCTGGGCAAAAAATTCCAGTTCAGGAGTTCTTATCGCAGGTTCAGGTACGATTTGAAAAAGAAGTATACTTTAGTGCAATATAAAACAAACTGACGAGTTTCTTTATAGGTGTTGCTGGTAGTGGATTGAATCAATTGAATTGTTCGTACGATATTGCTCGTGATTCAAATCTAGACATAACTTATATCGTAGATTATGGAAACAATCGCATTATGGGATATAAACCTGGGAATTTGACAGGTTTTGTTGTTGCTGGTGGAAATGGACAAGGATCAAATTATTCACAATTAAACGATCCGATAGCTATGGATTTCGATTCAGTAACAAACAGCTTTGTTATTGCAAATTTTAATCGTCATAATATTGTTCGTTGGACATTAGGCGCAAATAATTGGACACTTGTAGCTGGCGATAGTAATGGATTACCTGGTAGTACATCAACATCGCTCTATCTTCCTACCGGCTTGACTCTTGATCCAATGGGTAATCTATACGTTGCCGATTTAGTTAATCATCGTATTCAATTATTTCTCAATGGTGAAAAGAATGGTACAACAATTGCTGGTATAACTGGTCAAGCAGGCAACGATAGTTTATCATTGAATAGTCCATATACAGTTGTTTTAGACAACCAGCTGAATCTTTATGTTGCAGATAATCAAAATCATCGAATTCAAAAATTTATGCGATATTAAACATGATCCTATTCGAACGAATGAATGAACCTCAAAGCTCATAAAAGAACAAACCAATTTTATTATTAGATACGAGGAAAAATAATGAAGTAATAGAATTTCAAGTAATGTTGACAGATAAACTTCTTCAGGTAATCCAACTGACAGAGTGTCATTACCTTGAGATAAAATCATGCCAAGAACCCTTAGTAGCTATGACCGGAAGGGATTCATGCAAAAAGTGACAACGTTCTTCGTCTGTCTCACTCACAACCTCCAGTTCAAGCATTGAGAAAGAATACGGTAACAAAAACTAATGCAAACTCTCCTTTGCCTTTGTCAGATGCTTCATGAGTACATTCATATGATGCAAAATGATATACGAATATCCTTTTTCCGTGCTCAACTCGCATCAATATTGTTAATGTACATTAATTTTCTATAGAAATCAAAAGAGCGAAGTTTTAAGGGACATTTCAGTCTTGATTAGCATAGTGTCATAGACATTTATTTAATTGTGTCTGATGAATGCAATTCATGAAAAGTATAGAGAAAGTTAATACGATGACTTCATTGGAAATTGTATTTTGTAAACAAATACCAGCAGGTCATCTGAAACGCGATTATTCGCTTATAGCTTTCCATGACCTCTATACACATGGACGTTTTGTTGCTTTCATTTCTATTCGAAGTTACCTTAGACAATCACTCATAGATGAGACCTCAAAAAGCTGTTGAATAGAATATGATCTAGTTGATTATACGTCGCTATTATCTATGCGCCACTTCGTATACAATGGCGAACTAAAAAAGCACAGAAAATTTTGAATGAATATAGATAACATGATTAGCAACGAAATAAACTTAATCAAAAGTTATATATACCCACAGAAAAGAAGTTCTGGAGGCTAAGTGAGAGAATGTGACTCGACATCTTCTCATATTCCAGTTAAACAGGAATAAAAGAACGAACTATTACTTTTCATTTAATTATATTCTATCATATCAATGTCATTTGCACTGCTCAATATCAGTACAGTTTGGGTCCCGGCTGGTGACTCTGAATTCAGTCGTCACATTAAATTCTTTATTTTACTATTCACTTTGATGTTATCGGTTCCATGTAGTTTCTTTCTACTTTACCATATTCTTCATAACCGCAACGATCGACAAGCATTGCACAATCATGTCATGATTGCCATCATTCTTAATGGTCTCGCCATTGTTCTAATTGATTGTCCAATTATTCTTAATTATCTTTACACGGGTACGTCACTGACAACTATAGCCGGTTGCTACTTTTGGAATTTTGTCGATATCTGGTTGTATGGTTTAATTTCTTTGCTATTGCTTTGGGCATCAATTGAAAGACATATTCTAATCTTTCATGATCGACTGATCAACTCCAGAGCGCGACGAATGTCAATGCATTACATTCCACTGTTTAGTGTTTGTATTTATATGACCGTATTCTATGTGGTTGTCATATTTTATCCGTTATGCGAGAACCAATTTGACTCCAGTCGAGTCGTTTGTGGAGGATTATGTTATATAACAGATGTGGTATGGCTTAGTTTCTATGATCAACTGATGCACAGTACCATTCCTGCTCTGCTCATCAGCGTTCTTAACATCGTCTTATTGATTCGAGTATTTCGGCAAAAACGAGTTCGTATGAGACAGAGTGTACAACGACAAAACTACTATCGAATGTTCTTACAATTATTTCCTGCATCTATCTTATATATCATTGGCATTGTTCCATTCGGATTACTCAATTGCATTCACATGTTTGGTGCGTGGACTGATGCTGGCGTGTATGTGCAAGTACAACTCTTCTATTCATTCTATTTTATGGCTGCTCTTCTGCCATTTGTTTGTTTGTTGGGAATGCCAAATCTTTATTCGAAATTCTCTTGGAAACGACAAGTACATATTGCCCCAACTATACTAAGACATGGGTGAAGTTATTATAGCAAAGAACTCATATCTAATGACAATAATAAAGAGTAAAAGAAAGAAAACGTTGCAACTCTCTTATGTGTATCCCCTAGAGAAAAACTGAAGAGTACGGATGAGGATGTCATTGTAAATAACGAACATAGTTAGACCTACATTTTCAAACCGTTAAGATTCAGATTTCAACTCGAATACGAGAGAGAGATCGTGTATGACTGCGAGTGTATTCCTTATCTACAACGAGCTCATACTTACAAAACACGCTATGAACTCTCATCCATTTTTATCAATTCTTACCTAATATAACATTAAATTAGTTTCTTTGTCGATTGATATATTTATCGGATAGATTGGCATTTCCAGTCCTCTTCATCATTTCATCTCATTAATTCAAGATGTCATCAAAAATCAAAATAAATACCAATCACGAATAATTTTGATCGTGATTAACGATTATTTAAAACTTATGTATATATTCAATTCAAATTCATCTGATAATCCTTGTAGTTAAGGTCAAATTTCGATTATGGTAGCTATTATTAACACACCATCCTTTGCGTTACCAAACCATTACAGAATTCTGTTGGACTCTTTTGCAGAAAATACAGCGACATAGTATAGAAAAAGCGATTCACATGAGAAAATAAACAAAAGCAAACTTTTAAGTTGGGAAATTCCAAGTAGAATAGTACATAAACAGAGTGTTTTCTTTTAACATCAAATGATTCACCCAATCATGTCTTTGTATTGGAAAAACAATCTTCTATGTTCGATATTCTGTGATACAGATCAGTCTATCGAGACCTACGTAGTTTTAAATGGATACTCACTTAATATGTATGGTGTATTCAAAATCACCTATCATCTTCAAACATATATTTCTACATCTTTGGCTAAATCTTTAACTGTTTTATTTTTAAGTAAAAAAGTGTGGTTTTTGTATTCATAACAGTTTTAATTTCAATTTTTCAATATAGAAACTTCTTCCGAGTTGATTACACTTCGTTCATTGTATGGTGAATATCCATTTTCATCTATGTTTCATCAAAAAATAAATGATGACCAACAAACAATATGGGAAACCAACGTCAACATCATACCATCGATATTTTAGTATAACTATTATGACAAAAGCTTACCAGATGAAAAAGGATATTTTGAAGAGAGAATCTCCAATGAAATCAAATGCTATGATGCTGATAAGAATAAGCTGATCAAAGATATTAATTCATTATCACAAATGGAGAAAGGTCTTCTTATTCTTAGTGGCAAAGACGCTGAAAATATTTTAGATTCCGTTCACAAATTATCGTCATTAGATAGCATCTTTATTTATTGTCGTAGGAAAACAAAATATCCGATAATTGTTGGTATTATCAACTATTCATTAGAATTAGTTCATGTCATAAAAAGACAACTGCGAAGAATAGAAATGCAACAAATCACAGTATCCTTATATGCGGATAAAAATTTGAAAACAATACGGTTTTTTTCAACAGGTACATCAACATCATTTGTCTGGTATCAATTCATTAAAAATATTATGTGTTTGGATCAAGAAAACAATTCAAGAAGCAATGCTGAACGTGAAATGATGGAACTTTGCAGAAAATATCATTCGCATAAAGATGAAAAACAAATTCATCGTTTCGAAAGTGAATTTTTGCAGATGAGACCGATACACTGGTACACACAAGATATATTTCTTTATTGATTTATCAATCGAGTGTTGCGCACAGAAAAAATCTCGGATTTATTCTCATTACGTTTTTTCATTACCGATTTATCAAATGATTTGAAAAAGTGTCAACAAGAACAAATAGAAAGTATGTTGGAAACAATAACTAATATTAATTTATCTTCTGGTTTTTTTTCCAAAGATAATGCAAGACCAATGAAGGTTTATCATGGTCAAGCAAATCTCGGTTGTCTTATATCGAGTAATGGTTATCTATCAACAACAGAAAATCTTGCAGTAGCTGAAATGTATTCTGGTACTGATGGAAATCAATTGTCAATTATTTTCGAAATAGAAATTACTGAAATGGCTTCTACAAATAACATATTCGCTCCTATAAGTGATTACAGTCAGTTTACAGATGAAGACGAAGTTTTATTTGATATTGGAACTGTATTTAAATTAAAATCGTTTAAACCTTATAAGAATCAAACATGGCTCGTTCAACTAAAACTAAGCAACAAAGAAAAAGACCAAGCTGATATGTATATCAATTATAAAATGAAAGAATTACAACATCTATCCATTCCACTTCGTATCGGTCGAATACTCATTGAAGTTGGTGAATATAAACAAGCAAAAAAGTATCTGAAAGACTTACATAATGAGTTAAATCTTAATTACGATGAATCATTACAGCAATTATTGGGCATGGCAGAAATGCATTTGAACAATTATGACGAAAGTTTAAAACATCTGAACAAAGCGTATACTGCATGTCAATTTAATTCCAAAGGATTTACAAATTTAATATCAGATTTGTGTTACTTTTACACAATCGAGAATGAAACTTCACGAAAAATATTTCATTCGTTATCATTATCGTTACATTATAGTCGATTTCGTCATATGTATGCAGTTTGTCAACAATTAGAAATCTATTCCGTACTGGATTATCTTTCTGGCCATTATGATCGATCATTGAACAGCTGTTTTTGATTGTTTACAGGTTTGTCGAGTATTGGAAAGAATCAGTCAAAATTATATGAAATCGGATCAACCAGTATTAGCTTCACAATTTCATCAATGTGTTATGGATTTTCTTCAATCCATTTTACCTAGTGAACATCCACAGCTAAAACAACCAACTGATACGTATGTCACTTTTCATACATATAAAGAATTCAAATACAACAGATTCTTGAAAAACATAATTTGATGAGATCGTTGACATATGAAGAAAGAAATGCTTTGAGTATAGATACAAACTAACTATTCCGTCTCCCTGTCCAATAATACAAGAACGTAGGTGTAAAAGAGAGAAAATTTCACCTTCACACACTATTTTCATCTCATTGCGTAGAATTCTCATAATATAATCTTGAATGTTTATGATTTCTAGCATGATGTCTTTATCCATTGATGTAAATGAAACGATCGATTCAATTATATGTGAATATTATCTACCAATCACTCACAAAATTTCAAGATACATTGTCGAATTTGAGAACGAAATTACACCTTTGTTAATCCAACCATTAGAAACATTACATGATATGAAATTAAAAATCAAAAACTTGTATTCAAATCATAATGAAATCGACTGTTTTGTCATTGATGAAAAAGGCATAAAAGTTCGATATTTCATATGTCGAACACAAGCATCGATGATTATTAACATAGATCCGGATGCTGCAATTGAACATACATCATTTCAACTTAATATTTATCCAAACGATAGAATTGAAGATCTTCAAGATAAAATTGAAGAAATCACAAAAATACTATTTTATCACCAAATACTTCAATATCAAGAGAAAGATTTATTTTCTTATAAACTATTATCTAATTATGATATCCAAGATAATTCAATAATTATATTAAAACAAGATTGTCCAAAGAATACAACAGTTTACATTGACATAATTTCTCCTGATGATGATTCATTTCGATTTAAAAGAAAATTATCTTTACACAGACGAACTGTTTTTGATCTAAAAAAAAGATTTGGAAAATTTGTTAGAAATACCATTCAATGATCAAGAATTGTCTTACAATGATAAGATATTAAACGAACACAAACAATTATTACAAGATTATGAAATTCAAGAAAACACAACTCTTAAATTGATTTTAAAACAATGCTGTTTGTCAAGAAAGATATCTCTTTAAAATACAATCTTATAAACGTATAAAAGAATTGAAAGAATTAATTGAAAATCAATTAAAAATAGAATCCAAATATCAAAAATTAATTATGGATGATATGGAACTTCAAGATAATGAATTTATTAATGACATTATTTCAGATTCACTAATAAAATTGATCGATCGTCGATTTATTTCTGCTCAAATTTATATCAAATATGAAATCGATGAGTATTTTATCAAACAACAGTATAAGAATGACGAATCTGAACATATAGTTGATTACAGAAATAACTTGAAAAAATTTCCCTTTGACAAACAAAATATTTCAATCAACTTGTCTGTTAAATTAGGCGACACAATAAAAGATATCAAACGATTAATTGAAGAAAAAGAAAGCATTTGTATTGAACACCAAACTTTATTATTTTATAAGGACGAAAGCGAGTTATCAAATGTGTGTTATGATAGTCAATCATTGATCGACTGCTATATTACCGATCAAGCTACTCTTATACTTAGACTTGCAGATTTTGCTGTAATTTTCAGTAAACTATTTTTCACTTGAAAATTTTTTGCTATTTTTACTGTTCAGTAGGAACTAGCGCAAATCAAAAGGGTCTAATTTGGATTGAAATGGTTGATAAAGAAGATCATTGTGTATCCAATATAAAAATGAAACTTGCTAAACGATATGATATTGCCGATATTTATGGCCAATCGCTATATAAATCGAACTACAACATGTTAAACGAAAAATACGACGACACCAAATTATTTGATACGTCTCTCGTTAAGCACTTTGACAATCTCATTTTGAAACCTAATCCAATAGCAGATTCGACTAGTTCTAAACCCAGTACAGCCTCTTCATGCTGTTCATTATTAACGCTTCAACTCATTTTGTCTCAATCTACCAATCTCGCAAATAATATCCAACGTGCGCTTTACAAAGAAAATCCGTTTTTGAGAAATATGAATCACAGTCCTTTCAATGCACCAGAGACTTTGCTTCATAAATAAAACTTGTTGTCGCTTTTTCCTGACTTTGGTCTAGTTCTAACAAAAAATAAAACAACAAAAAACCGTGCACAACCGTTTAAAATCAGTCAGTTCACATCCAAATCCATTCGTCATACGATAAATTCAGATGTTACTTTTATATTTTGGAGTAGAAGAATATTTTGTGGGTTCAATGATGCCAAAGCCAGCTAATTATTTACAAACTTGATTAGATCTTGAACGTGGCAGAATGATTATTTCTTTCTCATCGTTACTACGTCGTTCTCAAAATCTGTCAGTATTTAACACTCAATGATATGATAAATGTCCTCTATGGCAGTATTCTCGCGACATTATCGAAGTGCAACATGAAAGTTCGGCTATCTTCAATACTTAGAGAAGACCCACTAAACATTACAATCAAACGTTTTTTACTTGACATTGATCATTATGAATCATGCTTACGGAGAATACTAAATGAGTTGGTAAGAAATTAATGCATTCTCGTCGACACCCGAAGACGATTGTGCTATAGGTAAAAGAAGAAATGACACACAATACAGAATTGTCGATTTAAGTAGTGTTTGTTTTTCTTTATTGTTCTTCAAAATATTCAAGAAATAAAACAAGAATTATGAACGTTTGTGTTTTTATTATCGAATATACTTAATTCTCAGATAAACACATCGGCGAACCGTCTGTTAACCAATAATGATGATGAAGCTATTTGTCGGAGCACCCAAGTTGGACAACCAAAAACTGATATTATATGTTCCACCGACCACAGTCGAAAATGATTGACTAATATAATCTGAGTATGCTACTGAACCATCTCTAAAACTATAATTTCCTGAATTAGGGCATAATGATGAAATAGTGCCGCTAGAAGACGCTCCGCTTGGATTACAATAAGAATAATACGAAGTAAATGAACTCAATTCAAAACCACCATTTTGCCACATTTGTACCCCATTGTAGGTTACAGAAATATCATCGAGACACCAATAACTAGGATCTTGCCGCATAGCTAACATCATAGTTGTTGTAGTCGATGCTGCAACATATGTATATTGATAATATGTATAAGAAAATGACGTTAAATTTGTGAAATACACTAGAACAGTAGGTGAACCACTGATTGTTGATGTACATGTATTGTTTAAGATCGCTAGATTAAAATTTTAAATGGAATTCGTATACTTTGAAATACTTTTCTGTGAAAGCACTAACCATTTGGTACATAAACGGTGGTTGGGTTGGGAGTTGTCGTTGTTGTGCCTGTTTTTGCCATAATAGCTAAGCATAGTTACGCTTATAAAACAGTTTTAAACCGTCTTTAGTTTTAGCTTACTGTATCGTAGTGCAAGAAAAATGGTGACGCCAATAGCAGCGGTCAAGATCAGCGCTGAAATAGCCAAACACCCTGGTGCACACCAAGAGAGTCCACATCTAAAAAATGCCCAGAGATTCTAATTATTCGATATTGTTGAACAAATAAAGCTTACTTTCTATAACATCGTGCCCAAAATGAATCCGTTTCTGAAAGATTATCCTTGGCAACGAATGCTTCTTTTGGTGTGGAGAGTGTGCGTAAAGGAGGTGATAACCGTGTCGGACTTTTTAGTTTTGCTGGTTGCTGAACAAATGGTGTTGTCTTTGAAAGTATATCAATATTAGCTACTTTTGGTAGTGGCTGGCGAGGAATTAATACTGCCTTTGAACGTGGGTGAGCAAGTGTTTTGCTGGACATCTAAGTTAGAGTAATACTGTTAACTAAAGTTATTCTAACTAGTATGGTCCTACCTTTCTGGGCACAGCAAAGCGGTGCAATGCAGAATTCGACACCTGATAAACAGTGGTAATTTTTCGCGAGTAAGAGAGCGAATGACTGCTATTAACAATTGAGCTGCAGTGCTTTTATCAATAAATACACTACTTTCTTCACTCCTTCCACTTTTCAATAAAGTATAAGTTTCTATGTCAACAGTAATTTACTACGTCAGCGGTGTTTTCTTTTGTCTTTCATCTGCTCTATCTTATCAACAAGCAAACATAGCGACCGTCACATAGTAATGGCTGTGTACAATTGCTCCCCATTATGTCATTGTAAAAATAAAAGAAAGTGTATGTTTGCCATTGAAACAGTGAAAACAGAAAACAGTGCACACACTCTTTCATATAAGCTATTTTAAAATAAACAAACGCTGAGTATTTGTAGTGATAGAGACGTTGTAGGCGTATGCACTGCTTCGTCTATGAACAGGAGTTAAAAATGTAGGATAATCATTTATAATACATTTTATGACGTAAATATTAAAAAGATGTGAGCATCGCGATGTAGTCTTCGACCTCGGGCAATGATTTATCCACAAACTGGATGATATTCAAGCCCATAGTGCTAGTTTCGCATCTTTCAAACAATATTGCTCAAATATTTCACTTAGGTGTTGTGCTTCATATTAACAAAAGCTGCATAGCCATGTGATTCTCTTTTTCCTCTCACGCTTGCACAATTACAAGGTAATGGACGTATTTATGATGATGCATCGACGATTCGCTCGACGTCCTTCTTCTCGTTTAACCTTATGAGGTTTATCACAGCGATGCAGAGAAACAAATACAAATTGTATGGCGGATTTTCCTAAGAACTGTTTTTATCAGATAATGCGGCATTCAGTAATCCTGTGCAGTCAAAGTATTGTTTTTCATTTCGATATCATACAATTCAGATATACTCAAGTCCACTTAAGAGGATGAGTTGATGGTAATGGAAAGACTCTGCTTAGGGATAAGGTAGCACAGTATACCTTTCTTTTTAATTTTCATAATCGCAAGCGTGCTTATATACACTTTATAGAAATTAGCAGTGTATCCGAGTATTTTCCGCTAATATTCATCTAGGAATATTCCAAATAGAATTCTCTACCGAACGATATCGGTCGAGTAATTTTCAATATTTCGCCTCATCGCAGAAATGTTATCCGAATAAAACATACGCATTCACGGAAGCTGTAAACTATGACAATGGCTGTTTGTGTGGTTCATCTCCAACGTGTACAGTTCCAGCGAATTTCACAGGCCAAAATTTCTCACAAATCGCATTTGTTATAGGCATGAAAATCGAATGCACTCCAAGTGAATCTTTCTTCGCTTCGACTCTCTAATGTTTGTTTGATCAAACATACAGGGATTTCATCCAACAATACACAAATTATGGACGTTCCTTTGACTGCTCTTTCAACAACAAATCTTAGCCGCTTTTCGTAGAACACAACAATAAGTAAACTTGTCGAAGATTTGTTTGCCAGAAGTTGGTCAACCGATACAAATTATTCATTGTATTATGAACAATGTCTACCCTCACTTTCTTTTTACCGCAGTGTAGAAAAGTTTAATATTTTCTACATAATTATTCTGATATGGCCTTCTATGTGGTTTGGCAATTGTACTCAAGTGGATCTGTCTGAAATTAATTCTAATTCTATCAAAAGTTCATCGTAAACAGAAACAGACCACATCAGTTGTTTTGCCTACTCAGTTGATATTCAATGCAGCTGTTTCAAATACGGTATTGATTACCGACACTCAACCCATGAATCCAACACATCAGTCAATCACATCTTTTCTTCACAGGAGCAATATTAATACGTTTAGTCGTTTATTTTCCAAAATGATAGTGATCTTTGTACTATTGATATGCACATCAGTAAGTGCTATTATATTTTCGATCTATTTATTCTCGACAATGTAAGACGAAACTTCTGTATCTAATAAATCTAGTCAGAAGTTATACATTTCAAATACTTGTTTCATAGACTCAACGGGAAATGTGTCAACAGCTGAAAGTTTGAATATGACATTCAGCACAACGAGTTCAACAGATTATTTTATTCCACAGACGGAAAAATCCTATCACTATGAAATCCACTCTATGATGTTATATAAGAATTGATTTATTTGCCTAGAATCGATACATATATTCAAAACAAATACAAACTGCTACTTCAGGTCTTAGTATTCTTACGAATGTCAAAGGCAATCTCATTTTCATTGGACAACAACTCATGATTCTAGGAAATAAAAATAGTCATCAATACAATGTTAATATCCTCTACGGTAACGGGAATGGAACGTTTCAAACACAAAGTATACAAACCTTAGCCATAAATGGGTTTCAAACTGATATCGATACTCTTGAAATTTACTTTGATTATTAGCTGGATATCAGTGTCAATGATCTCAACAATGACAGCAAATTGGACATCACTGTTGTCATACAATATTGCAATCGGGTTTTCATATTATATTATGTTTCTTAACAGCAGGATAAACACCATCTATGTATTATATCGATACAACAATGGTGTTTTTCACACCAATGAGAAAATTATCAAGATATCTTCGGTGTCGCAACTGAGTTCACTCGCTGCCCATGATCTTAATGGCGATAATTATCTAGATATCATTATTGGTACACTATTGTCAAATGAAATCTGTATTTGGATAAGAAATAAAAATCGAGATTTTCAAACTATCAAATTATCAATTCTACTGCACTGAATACTAATCAGACATGGAATAATAATAATACATGTCAAGATGTGACTGTTATGACTATTCACTGATCTATATGCTATCTTCTGGTTTTACTTATTTATTCCACTCTCTTAATAAACATACTTCTGAATGAATGAGATTATGTGAGAGATAATATAGCTATTGAAGAACGATTTGTTATACAATCGTGGATCAGGTGTTGATTCAGTTGCATTTTTTGAATATAATTGTTGAGCATTTAGATATGCTACCTAAGACGAAGCATGTAAAAGATGATTTTGGTTCGATCTCTTTATATAACTACTTTGTCTGCCCATCGATGTGATTCTGGTGTTAAAGTCAACGATCTTCCACTAGATTGATATCTATACATGTCGACTACTTGTTGTAAACAATTCGAATGAATATTCAATGTTCTTTTTTTACATTTTTTAATTATCAAGAAATCTTAATTATATTAAAGCTGTAGAAATTCATAATGTGCCCCAAAAGAACGGCGACAGTGAATATAATTGAAAATTTTCAAAAGAAAACAATGTATAGGTATAGGTCATAATTAACTAAAAAGAACCAAAAAAGCACAATTTGAATTGCATATTGTAATACAAGTAAGAGAACCCTATAACTGTCACAGATAGACAAACAATTGTTTTGAACATAGAAGATGTTTTGAAAAGCACGTCGACCTCTTTGATCTGTGATCAGAATAAAATTACTCGTAATCTTGAAAGGATGGGCAAATCAATAGGACATGGTGTGTTTTGTTCCTCATTTAGATTAGCTTCTCTACGTAGGATTAACAGTTAGTACAAACGTTGAAACTTTATACGAGAAGCAACACACTCATTTCTATCTTGTCGTAGACTCTGCATATGATCGTTCGACTAGAATAGAATGCTATCGAGATGGAACATATGTATTCGTATTTAATGGGAAAAGTCTTCTATGGAGGGTAAATGTATTTAAAAATAAATCTTTCAATCGAGATGTTTGATTGATTTTCACTGATTATCTGTGTAGTTGAATCAAGTTGTAAACAACCACATAAAGTAGGAAAACCCAAAGATACAGAATATTTTCTTTCGTATATTGATTAGTTTTGATGGAATTTGTTTGTAAATTACTTTTAGAGCATTGTAGATGTTTCGAATTTCCATCAATCGCGTTCTTATATATTCCCGTCATTCTAATTTGGCTTCAGTTTCTACACATAAGCATTTGCAATGAGATATAGATTCTAATTCCATATCTTGTTAAGAACAGTACAACATAGTCAGAGAAAAAAGATTCGGCGACATTTGATAATGACAAAAAAACTCTTATAACAAGTCTTTGTTTGTGGTCACATGTTATGGTATAAGTAATACTTTCGTATTGATATATTCTCAGATTATTGCAGTATATATACAGCTTGTTATGAAAGAAGTACAAGTGTTTGACCTTGAAGGTCGCAATAGTCAAATAACAATTGATCAAGTATTATTATATGATTTGTATAGTTCGCTCTATCATGTTGTTGGCAATAATATTGACAGTATTAACTGTGGAATTTCTATTTTATCCGACTTCACAACGCATCAATGATCGTAAACATCAGAAATTAGCTCTCCTTCTGTTATGTGGCTCTCATTGTTCGACGGCAACGTTTTTTATTGTAGATTTTTTAATAAACCAGGAGATTCCTCACTTTCGTCACCTTACGAGAGATAAGGTTGGGTTTACATTTAATGATCTCCTTTTTGATATATTTATATGCGATCATAAAAACAATTCTCAGTGTGTAAACTATTAATTGAATAACTATGCACCGGACGAGCAAATCGAAGTTGTTTCAATGAATTTTAATTAAACTTTTATGCAAAGCTCTTCTTGTAAACACGCATAGCTAATACTTGTTTATAAATCAAGCACACACCCTCAATACCTTCTGCGCTACTAAATTTAGTATTATTCCGTTGGATCTTAGTCTAATAGCCATATCAGGGACAATTCCGTGAAAATATTTACTGAAGGCATGAAACCGTTGTTTTCTGGTGTTTTGTCTGTTCGAAACGATTCGTTCAGTTATTTACTATTGCAAAGTCACATCTTCTTTTATAATGACAGAACCAATAATATTACCTTTTCTTTCATATAGGAGAAAACTACGAACTAGTAGACGTTCCTGGTTTTGATTCTCCTATCAAGGAACACCGTGATGCTTTTCTATTTCTCACCGATGGTAATCGTTCGAGTCTGACTCGAGGTAAAATACGTTTACTGAATGAAATACTAGACGGAAAACAACATTACGAAGCGATGAATCGTGCATTTGGCATTATCACCAAACTTAACTATTGTTATACTCTAAATGAGTTTAATGAACGTTCTTCAAAAGCACAACAAGATCACATTTTTGCTGTTTGTTCTATTATGAATCTTTGGAAAGCGAATTCTCATGAATATCAAACATTTCAATGATTTGCAAAATGCTTTTCAACGTAGTAAAGAAGCATTGGATCGATTTATTGAATTTGACCTACCAAAAACACATTTAAATCAACGAATGGGTTTGGGATGCAGCAAACTTGTTCGATATGCGATGGAGGGTGAGTCAAATGCGAAAAACTTCTTTCTGTCTGGTGCTGATCTAAATGACGAAACATCATTTCACGACTACTACAAACATGTAAAGGATCAAAAATGGGATAAAACATACCATAGAGATCTTTTTCAACGAACATTTGACAAAGCAAACAAATGGCAAAAGGAAGCGCTGGTAAAACAACGTGAGTAGTTCATTCAAAACGCGAAAAAACCGTTTCGCGAATCATTCAATAGTTTTACAAAAAGTTTTATTGAACGTCCTGTTGACATACACGATCAAATGATGAAACAATATGGTTATCCTTCCTTGCATTCTACCGCTCAAACTATTGACGATCGGGTGCACGAGAATTTAGCATTTGAATTAGAAGCATCGGTTTCAAAAATCGTTAAAGAACTGATACTAATTGCGCCAACTGTCGTGTATCGCTTATGCGAAGACAACGACGAGTCTAAAGAATTGGACGCCAGTACTTAAAGAGGGCGTTGAAATGGTGTTGGAATTTTATGGTAAAACTGGTATTCAGAATAAGATTGCATCAGAAATTTGCAATAAAAAAATCTTATAATTTTTCCTTTATGTTTGACGGATAATCAAGAGTCAATAAAGCTCGACTCATGCTCCTTTCACTCTCATAACACATCATTTAGATCTCCAGACTGTCGAAGTTTGTTCAGATTAAAAAAATGATTCTCGAAAAGAATCTATCAAACTATATCAATTCATATTTAACAATTATTGAATATCTCGTCCTCACCTTCACACAATAATTGATAGTATCTATATGTGATCTTTGTTTTCATAGACTGGTATGGAATTTGTATCATTTATATACTACTATTATAGTTATTAAACGAAAGATGGGTAAAAAATCAAATTTTATTATTCATTGTACCCATGGGTGCCTGTGGAGTATTCACTCTTCCTCGTTTACAACAGAAACGTTTCACAAGAATCAAAGATACGATCACAACATGCATAACGTAATTGATAATTAAAAGAACAAAGGCCGGTCTAAACAACTCAGATTGACAATATGTATTCGCGTCATTCGGGTTATCTCCTTGAACCCCGTCCACTTTTGCACTGAATATCCAAACAGAACCAGTAATTAACCAAGCAAAACTAAATAAAGATATAATTAACACCGAAACCAGGATAATGACGAGAATGACAACTCCAATTGGGCTGGATTGTTGTGTAT